GGGAGGGCTTGAGCTTGTTGCGGCTGTTAACCTGTTGGGTTTTAGCTTGTGGTTGAGGGGGCAAATTCCGAAGTGAGATTAAATGTTATCGTCTCTCAAACTACTCTCTAGTCTTCCCCTCCTGCTTTCCTTCTTGTTTCCTTGTGCTCGTTGGTGCCTCTCATCAGACGGATTACTCCCGGGTTCCGATTGACTTGATCTCAGTATACTTGGGCCTCCCTGACCAGCCATTGGTATATCCAGAGTCCGGCTGCCACAGGCTCTCCCGTCGCCGTCGGATCCTCCGAGTCATCGGCGGATGTGTCCACACGTTCTCTTCGTCCATGTGCATCTATTGGCGGCGCTCTCGAAGACTCATGAACACGCACCGGCCAGCGTCGTGTACTTGCTTGCACAACTGGCAGCGCCGGTTGCAGAAGTAGGCCGAGTGGGAAAGACCGCCACAGGCCGCGCAAGGAACCGTACTGGCGTTGTCGATTGTCGTGACCGCCTCGTGCGAGAGCGTATTGAAGACCCCAGAGCACCTGTAGATTCAAACATGGCCTACTCTGTTAGACACACCACTTGACAATGTATGCAAAATGAACTTGCAGACGTACACGTCGCGAGCTTCCGGGGTCAGGTTGGCCGAGGCGTAGTGCTTCATTGACACACCGGCGAAAATGACCGACACGACGCCCCGACATGCCGAGTACCTGCGAGACCACGAACGGCTCCCCGACGCGGGAGGCGATCAGAGTGGCCGGAAACCCAGTCGGGACAACCGGTACCAGAGCCGAGGCGGTCACGACAATCGACAACGCCAGTACGGTCCTTGCGCGGCCTGTGGAGGTCTTTCCCACTCGGCCCACTTCTGCAACCGGCGCTGCCAGTTGTGCAAGCAAGTACACGACGCTGGCCGGTGCGTGTTCATGAGTCTTCGAGAGCGCCGCCAATAAATGCACATGGACGAAGAGAACGTGTGGACACATCCGCCGATGACTCGGAGGATCCGACGGCGACGGGAGAGCCTGCGGCAGCCGGACTCTGGATATACCAATGGCTGGTCAGGGAGACCCAAGTATACTGAGATCAAGTCAATCGGAACCCGGGAGTAATCCGTCTGATGAGAGGCACCAACGAGCACAAGGAAACAAGAAGGAAAGCAGGAGGGGAAGACTAGAGAGTAGTTTGAGAGACGATAACATTTAATCTCACTTCGGAATTTGCCCCCTCAACCACAAGCTAAAACCCAACAGGTTAACAGCCGCAACAAGCTCAAGCCCTCCCCGACGACCGACATGACGACGTCCAGCAAGAAGGCCGAAGTCATCCTGGGAAGCGACAATTACTTCCACTGGGAGTTCGCGATGCGTATGACGCTCGCGAGGAAGGGGCTGCTGGCGCACGTCCAAGTGGTGAAGGACCCGACGGAGATGACGGAGGCCTGGATGCTCAACGACATGAAGGCGCTCGGTCTGATCGCTCAAGGCGTGGCTGTGGAACACCACACGAAGATTCGGTCAGCGACGTCGGCCATCCAAGCCTGGAATACTCTACGCGAGTTCTACAACCGGACGACGATGCATAATCGGGTCACGATGACTTGTCGGCTCCATGAGTTCAAGATGGAGGGCGGTGCGACGATGGCGAAGCACCTGGACAAGTTCGACGAGCTCATCGTGGGTCTCCAGACGCTTGGAGATCCGTTCGATGACTCCCGACAACTCGTCATCCTGCTGAGCAGCTTGCCGGCGGAGTACGAGTTGATCGCATCCATCGTCGAGAACTCGAAGGACGTGACCCTCATCGAGGTGAAGGAGAAGCTGCTCAAGGAATACGAGCGGCAGGAGAAGAAGGAGACCTCGGAGCGCGCGTTGAAGGCTACCTCGTTCGGAGGTAGGGGCCAGAACTGGAATGTCGGCAAGGGCGACAAGGCATTCGGCCGCAAGCGCAACGGCGGACGAAAGGTCGGTGGCTTCAAGGGCAAGTGCTTCAACTGTGACCAAGTGGGCCACATGAAGCGGGACTGCCCGGAAAAAGTAAATGGAGACACCGCCGAAGCCTCGGTGTTCGCTGTGGCGGAGAATCCATCAGCGGGTTGGCTGATCGATAGTGGGGCGACGGCTCACATGACGCCTCACCGCGATGACTTGTTCGAGTACAACGAGTCGTCGGCGGACATGTATATGACAATCGCGGACGGGAAGAAGATCCGCGTGGCTGGGAAAGGGTCGGTGCGCCTAACGGGCATCGACGGCAAGCGCATCAAGATGGTGGAGGTGCTCCACATCCCCGGACTCGACCGGCGACTACTCTCGGTTGGGAGGTTGGCTGAACGCGGCATGAGTGTCGAGTTCCAGCGGAAGTCGTGCGTCATCTGGGACAAGACGAAGGCGATCGCTTCGGGGAAGAAGGTCGGCAAGGCGTACTTGCTGGACTGCCAGCAGGACATGGTGTATTACACCGAGTACTCGGGAGTCGACGGGAAGTGGGAGCTATGGCACGCTCGTATGGGACACTTGAACGGAGACGCTATGGCAAAGACCCGCGAGGCGACGGACGGGCTCCCGACGACTCAATAGTAGACGAAGACCCTGTGCGGAGGATTCATGAAGGGCAAGCAGACGGTCGCACATTTCCCGTCGCGGTCGACGTCGGCGACGACTCGACCGCTGGAACTAGTTCGTACGGACGTGATGGGTCCTATGAAGACGAAGTCCAAGGGCGGAGCGAGGTATGTGCTCACATTTGTCGACGACTACTCGCGACACGTCGTGGTGTACTTCTTGGCCAAGAAGAGCGAGGTCGTGACCAAGTTCAAGTCGTTCATGAAGCTGTACGAGAACCAATGGGGACAGCGCATTAAATGCCTGCGCTCGGACAACGGCACTGAGTTCGTGAACACGCCGATGACTGAGATCTGCCGGGTGAATGGGATTATGCATCAGAAGACGGTCCCGTATAGCCCCCAGCAGAACAGCGTGGCGGAGCGGATGAACCACACGATCATGGAGAAGGCTCGAAGCATGCTACACTACAAGGGCGTGGCTTCGATATGGTGGGCAGAGGCGGTCAGCACTGCTGTCTACCTGATCAACCGGTCGACGAACAGCATGCACCCGACCAAGACTCCGTACGAGTTGACGTTCAAGTCAAAGCCTCGGCTGGATCATCTTCGAGTCTTCGGGTCGATGGGTAACGCTCATGTCGACAAGTCGCGACGCACCAAGTTGGAGCCGAAAAGCTTCAAATGTATGTTTCTTGGGTACGCCGACGACTCAAAAGGTTACCGAGTGTACGACTTGGAGTCGAACAAGGTGAAGGTGTCCAGGTCGGTGAAGCTGGACGAGCGCGAGGTGAACGGCATCTACGACATGGCGCCCAGCGAGAACTCGCCGATCATTGAGTTGACGGAAGATGCCGAGGATGCGGCACTGCCCGAGGAGATACAACGACCTGCCGCCGACGAGCCGATGGAATCAGTGGAAGAGACCGTCAAGGACACGGAGATGCATGAGGTGGAGACGTCGGAGCCATCCATGCAGGAGCTGACAACGTACCGACGACTCGCGAGACCGGTATCGAATGATGACATGGTCTTCTACCCCGAGCCGGAACGGACCCGGCGCGCCCGAGAACCGGTACTACTACTTGGAGATGGTTCCGCAGACGGTGAGGAGTCGAAAGAAGATGGTTCCGATGACTCGGACAACGATGATCACTTCTGGCCACCGTCTCCAAAGCGACCCAGGGTGGACGAAGACAGCCTATTGGCTGGGGCGGTGCTGGCCTACGCCGCAGACGTCGGCGATGCGAATGACGCACCCACCACGTATCAGCAGGCCATGCAGAGCGACGAGTCGTCGGAATGGGTGAAGGCAATGAATGCGGAGCTCAAGGCACACGCGGACAACGGATCATGGACGCTGGTCCGTCGGACACCGAGTGCTCGACCGATCGGTTGTCGCTGGGTGTTCGCAAAGAAACGCGACGAGCACGGCCGAGTCATCCGGTATAAGGCCCGCCTGGTGGCGAAAGGGTTTAAGCAGAAGTATGGCGTGGACTTCTTCGAGACGTACTCGCCCGTGGCCAACATGAACTCGATCCGAGTGGTGTTGTCGGTTGTGGTGGCCGAGGCGTACATCACCGAGCAGCTGGATGCGGACACCGCCTTTCTCAACAGCGGGCTGGTGGAGCGCGTCTACATGGAGGTACCCTACGGAATCATCAACGCGAAGAACATGATGTGTCGGCTGCAGAAGGCAATCTATGGTCTGAAGCAGGCGGCAAATGCCTGGCATAAGACCATCCACCGAGTCTTCGTGGGCATCGGATTTCGGAGCTGCGGCGGTGACCAGTGCGTATACGTCAAGGGCGAGAAGGGCAGGTTCGTGTACGTCTGCCTATACGTGGACGATATGATCATCGCAGCCAAGACGAGCAACGAGATCCAGGAAGTCAAGGTGGCGCTCAAGAATGCGTTTAAGATGAAGGAGTTGGGCGAGGCCAAGTTCATTCTCGGTATGGAGATCGACCATGACTCATCGGCGAAGACTCTCATGATCAAGCAGACTCGATACATTGATGATGTGGTGAAGCGGTTCAACCAGCAGGACGCCAAGGTGGTGGTGAACCCGTGCGATTCGGGCATGACGTTGTCGAAGACTCAGTCGCCGATGACTCAGAAGGAACGTGAGGAAATGCAGGCGAAGCCCTACTGAGCACTCATTGGCTGTTTGCTGTACATTACAACGTGCACCAGACCTGATGTGGCGTACATCGTGACCCAGTTGTCGCGCTTCCTCGAGAACCCCGGGCAGCAGCACTAGAAGGCTGCCATCCGCGTGCTCAGGTACCTGAAGAGCACCCGAGACATCGGTATCGCCTACAATGGGAACGCAAGAAGGTCGAGGTGACGGCGTACACCGACGCCGACTGGGGCAGCAATCTCGACGACCGACGCTCGGTGTCGGGCATCATGGTGATGATTAGCGGGGCGCCGATGGTCTTCAAGTCGAAGTGCCAGCGCACGGTGGCGCTCAGCTCGGCGGAGGCCGAGTACATGGCGCTGAGCCTGTGCACGCAGGAGGTGCTGTGGACCCGCGCCATGCTCAAGGACATGAGTCACGAGCAAGTGGGAGCTACCCAAGTATGGGAGGACAACCAGGGCGCGATCGCTCTCGCAAGCAACGCTGGCTATAACGCGAGGACCAAGCACGTGGACATCAAGCATCACTTCATCCGCGAGAATGTGTCCCGAGGACTCATCGTCGTCAACTACGTGCCGACGGAGGACCATGCTTACCAAGGCGTTGAGGCTGAAGAGGCTCAAGTACCTGATCAGCGCAAGCGGAATCGTCGGGACGGTCGTGCAGCATTAGCGGCGAGTGGGAGTGTTCATGAGTCTTCGGGAGCGCCGCCAATAGATGCACATGGACGAAGAGAACGTGTGGACACATCCGCCGATGACTCGGAGGATCCGACGGCGACGGGAGAGCCTGCGGCAGCCGGACTCTGGATATACCAATGGCTGGTCAGGGAGACCCAAGTATACTGAGATCAAGTCAATCGGAACCCGGGAGTAATCCGTCTGATGAGAGGCACCAACGAGCACAAGGAAACAAGAAGGAAAGCAGGAGGGGAAGACTAGAGAGTAGTTTGAGAGACGATAACATTTAATCTCACTTCGGAATTTGCCCCCTCAACCACAAGCTAAAAACCAACAGTGCGAGGTCTTCTAAGAACTCACCAAGCTTGTTCGCAACAAAGTGGACAAGAAGGACCTCACTCCTGAGCTCGAGAACCTCCTCTTCACGGAACATTTCAACTAGGCAGCCCGCCAACTGAAACTGGGTTGGTCCCAGTCGGGCTGCCACAGTCAGCCGAGCCTGCAGTCGAAGCGGAGTGTATCTACGCTGTTGTGGGCAAGTGCGAATGGCCGGATGAAGGACGAGGTACATGGGTGAACGCGACAGAATTCGAAAAGGAGAGAGGCGAAGGCCTCGGTGGAGGTGATTTGAGTGAGAAGAGTGATGACGAAGTGATTGAAGACACTGCCGAAGACTGGATGACAAGTGCAGTGCAGGAAACATCGCGCCGACGACTCGACGTGGAGGTACGCCTCCTGCCCGGAAAACACATGGGATGGTGGTCGGCGCAGAAATTTGACCGACGAGTACGTATGAGGACGCTGGTTAACGGAGCGGTCAACGACTCGCGGACGCGGATCTTGCTGGACAGTGGAGCGAACGTCAGTGTTATTTCCGAGAAGTATGCCAACCAGCTGAGGATCAAGGATATTCCGGGTCATGGTCGGTGTATGGAGGTCCAGGGTATCACTAAGGGCAAGGCGACGACGACTCGGAGGGCGTCCGTTAAGATCACGCTCGGATGGGAACGCGTTTATGTTTTCGAGATGTGGATTATCGACCACAATGCCGGTGTTAACGTGGTGCTAGGCACCGACTTCATGATCCCGGCTGGCATCCGGCTGGATCTCTTCAACGCGGCGGCCGAGCTACCGGACGAAGTGATCCCGCTGATCAAGACGCAGAACATGGTCGACGAGGCCGAAGGGGTCCACGTTAACGGAGGCCCGGTCGATGTGCTGCAGATTCCCGGCCGAGAATGGAAGGAGTTCCGGTTGCAACGGAAGCGGCCGTCCCCGACGACTCACGTACCGTGGATCCGACGGACCGACAAGCTCATCCCTACGGTGAAGCGGTTCCACAAGGGACGCCCGCAGCGGATCCGGCTGACGAACATTGACACTCGGCTCACGATCTGCTCGGCTCACACGACCTTCGTGGTGTGGGTACCCGTGGAGTCGTTGCCGAAGTCTGAAGGATATGTGCGACTCGACTCCGACAAGTATCGAGAACGGCAAGTTCTTGCCTACGAAGTGGCCCGCGATAAGACGCTGCTCAAGCGGGAAGCCGAGCTTTACGCTCAATGGTTAGCCGCCCAGCCGTCGGCAGTGGACCGACCCGAGTACCCTATTCCAACCGGACTGCTCCAACGTCCTCCCGAATACTCTCGGGGCGAGCAAATCTCGGAGCTGTTCGACAGCGACGGGGGTGAGGATTCTGACGGCTTGTCAGTGGGCAATGATCCGGAATCAAGCTCCTTGGGACCGGGCAGAAGCAGTCAAGTCGCTCCCGACGACACGCCAGCCGATCCACAAGTGGCCGAAATTGCTCCCGATCAACCCTCGATAACTCAGTTTCCGACTGTGGCGACAAACGGAGACACTCCGGATTTGAAACCGCATTGTGACCTGACCAATGAAGCACCGACAACTCATCTGGTCCCCCGTTACGACGCGCACACTCCCCTCGCTATGGCGTAGCATACCTTTATGTCGGTGATGAGCGTACTGGACATGGACGAGGATGATGCGACAAATGACAGCGCGTGGCTACCGACTGGAAGTTTCCCGACGACTCCTACTGCGTCAAGCCTCTCAAAGACACGGCTCCCGAAGAGTCATACGGGGTGCGTGGTATCTTTCGCGGGCTTGACACAGCCTGGGCAGTATGGTGCAGATGGAAGCTGCGCATGGATTGTGTGGCGCCTACCGGAGTGGAAATTGATGATTGCCGCGAACGCTTACCTCGCCGACACGACCAGCCTCCTTGCCCAGAGCGCCGGTATGACATACGGCGTGCTGGCGGCTTTCCAACTCGGTGCCGACGACTTGGTCGTTGTTAGCAATTCAAGGCTGGCGTTGTTGCACTCGCTAGGGGCAGCTGATGCCGGGGCGATGACTTAACCAAGTTACCACGAGGAGGTCAAGGCCCGACTGCGATCTGTGAGATACATTCACGTCGCACAGGAATACAATGCTACCGCGGACTCGCTAGCTTCTGAAGCGTTGGAATCTCAGACGTCGAAGGTGGTTTTGAGTGGCGATAGGAAGGCCGCGCTCTGTGAGCTCAACCAACTCCAAGCGGTGATCTACAAAATCGATCCGGACGGGATATCCCCGCAGAACGTGCTTCCCGGTGATTCTTTTCGGTCCCAAGATTTCTCCAGCAGTAGTTCAAGGAGCATTGAGCCTACCATGGCCGCGCCGATGACTCGGTCACAAGCCAAGCTCAAGACGAAGCCACCGATCCGGACCGACAAGACAATGGAACCACTGCCGACGACTGGGTGAATGCGAGTTTTGTGCAAACAGTGCAGGTTATCCAGAGAACGGACAGACCAACAGCACACCGAGATCTCGCGTCAAGTGGGTCAGCCGCATCCGGCCGTACATGGAACGGGGCAAACCGACTGATGAAAACAAGGTCTCTACGTGCAAGGCTCTGCTGTCTACAAGCGCCAAGGTTGCTACACGTGGACTGTGCCGAAAGAGTGTCGAGGCTGTGTACAACGCCTAGCACCTGCTCGCGACAACTCAACCTCACGGTGAACTGCGCCTGGGGCAATGCAGCCCAGGAGTGCAGACGAAAATGGCTACTGCAGCTTTGCATGCTACATGGATATTGAACGCGAATGATACGGATGGAGAATCCCGATTGGAACGAACTACAACGGGCCCCGACAACTCAAGGGCAGTGCTGGCGAAGACTTGTTGTGCTTGGAGCTCGGACGGAGGTGCGCTGACAACTGCCGATGACTCAAAGCGCCTGAAGCAGGATCTACGCTGGGTCAGACGCGCTACGGCAAGATGGTGGCTGAGAAGTTTTTGTGAGGACCGGATCGGCCGCAGGAACTTGCTGAAGCCTATGCGCAAGGAGCTACCGCAGTCTACGGCCTCACCAAGCTCGTCCAGGTCATCACGCATCATGATGCTGATCATCGTATGGTTCCCGAGAACCGGGTGGTTGTACAGAATCAAGCCGAGCGGTCATGGAGTGTCGTGCCGTTGTCTACGAAGCAGAGTCTGACGAAAGCGATGATGCCACCGCTGCTCAACTCAACAAAGGTCGTGGAACGGCGGTGAAGGCGGACAATATGTCGGCACTATACCGAACGACGTCGAAGACACTATGCGGCGGTCGCCAACCCGGCCCCGACGGCTCGGTGCGAACCCGAGTTATGGAACCAGGTAAGCCTACAGCAGCTAGCCACCGGCGCGACATTACGACAACGCAGACGCCTACCAAGCACGCAACCGGGGCAAACAACACCAGGCGTCGTTAACAGCGAAAGGAAGCAGAAGCAAAACGCACCACGACGCTCGCCATCAGGTGGTTCACATAGTGGTGGGGGCAGCTGTGGTGTATTGATTTGGCGGTGAACGAGAATCGAGCTGACGACCAAGCTTCAGTGGCGACCCGAGTCGTCGGGACATGTTCAGCAATGTTCGGCGGATGCTGATTGGCCATTCTGGACCGGTGCCGAAGACTCGTCGACACCCAAGTTCGAGACCCAGGACTTCAAGTACGATCCGAACTTACAGCGAACTTTGACCCGAGATCCGCACTTAAGACGACCGTTCGAGCCCCGGCGACTCCAATAGAGTCATCGTGGGGCGTCGAGGAGGCTCTGAAGGGTCGGTGGTTACTTGGGAAGATCCAAAACGGACGCGTTTATACTAGATATTTGTATTGAACCATAGGAAAGAGAAGATAGAACAGATAAGCCCTTTGGGCAACAAGAACAGAACAGCTTTTCCTCCCAACCACTCAAGGAAGACGTCCGGGCTATCAGTGAGTTCCCGTAGCAATTGGATAAACCTGTTGGTAGGATTATGACTGTCGGTGGACGCGCCTGCTAGTATCGTAGCGTGCGTTTACCCGTGGTCAGGCCAAGAGAAGCGAAGAGGTGGCCGTGTATACGAAGGGCGAGTCATCGCCGTGTAGTGGAGGAGCGAGAGCGCACTCCATTTATCCTTCCCGCCGGAGTATAGCTCCGGCACCCTCGTATCAAGCCGTGACTGGCTGGGGCCCTTCCTTCCTGAGGGCCTGCGAGGTTTATATTGTGTGTGAGAGCGTGTCAGCCTTTGCTCGTGGCTGGTGACGCTGGGGTTCCGTCAGTTGACTAAGCGGAAACACGGTGCACAGAGGAAACATCAACCCGGTGCAAGGGAAAGTTCCTGTGCCTTCAGGTTCTAACCCTAACAAGCCCATTGAGTGGTGGGTGTTGTTGGTGGGGAAAGTGTGCTATTATATAATTTAGTGCGTGTTCCTACACGACATACGGGCGTTGGGACCGGGGCAGGCACCTTCAGCAGCGGCCACGAGACCAGCAAGAGCGACGAGGGGGGTCCAGATTTGCATGCTTTGATCGGTCAAGTTGGCTGGCGTGAGTGGGAAGAGATAAAACTCAAAGTGAGGGAGGGGGTGCTCACTGACGTCGAATACTCTGTGCCAATTGATCCATCCTGTGGTGTGGTTGCGCGGATTTTGCCACGATGGTGCTTGTCTCCACGTGAAGCCGTAAACGCGCAGCGAACGGGACGATCCTGTGTGTGGCGCTTTGACTCAAACCGTCTCAAAGCCTTTGAGACGGTTCGGCCTGATGGTAAGACAGCGCCATTACCACATGTCTGCACTGAATATTACGTTGCCTGTAACTTATACGTAGGTGTCGCTGTGTTTCTGTCTTTGGATCGAGGACGAGCATTGGCCCATTGCACGCTGTGCCGATCAAATTTGAACATAGAAGATTGTGATTCACGGTAATGCTGGCCTATTTTCTCATTCAATGGTGTTGGCGAAATGTCGAATCGAGTTCGAGAGCATAGCCTCTTCAGGCAATTTGATTCTTGCGGCACTATGATGCACAGCAACTCGTAAGTTAGTTGCCACCTATTGATACTACGTGCAGTACACGCAGCGACCATCAAACAAAAAGTGCTCGGACGTCGCGTTGTCGAAATAATGACGGACAATAAAGTACGACCACCCGAACACGATATTGCCATTGTCTTTAGGAAGGCGCCGGAATGTCATCTTACTCATATCTAATGGGGCATAATTTTACCATGGTAACAAACTTCAAACACAGAGTTGGTACATGTACTGTACCGTATCCGAGATTTACCATCGCGTGCACTTCGATTGAGACGGTTCATGTTGTTCGCACGACAAGTTTGCAAGGAAGACAAGTTGTGCCGTAATCGCGGCGTGCAGAACTTTCTCCTTCAAGTAAAAAAGGCTACGGTATCGTCGATACGGGAGTGCATTGTGCACTTTCAGCAAGGCTGTGGTTGTAAGACAACTATACAGCGATTAGAGCACTACACGTAGCGTAGCAAACGCTGTCCAGGATCGGGTAGGACGTCGACGGACAGCTCTGTTGCTTTCTCGATTCGCTTTTAATTTTGCGGGCGGGGAGGGGGGGGGGGCTCAATTAGCGCTATAATACTCTCCAATCGAAACTTACACACGCACAGATATACGCGATATGTCGCGTGTTGGCAGAATAACAGGGAAGGAGGGCACCACATTTTGCCAGAGGGACGGGCTCATTCTCAAGGACACTATCTGGCCTTAGCGATTGCAGATCTTTCGAAGCATGAAATTGACTTTTTACTCCATTGTTTTACCTAAGTATGAGATACTTCGTATTCATATACGTATTCCAGTATACGTGAAGTTTTTTAGCTGCCGATGCTGTCTTGATCTCGCAGTTTTTCTTCAGCAAATCCACGCACAAAACCTGCCGCTCATCTTCCAGCAAGCACCTCTCCGACAACGCAAACACCAGTCTACTAGACGCTCCCTGCAGCTCCTGGAACTCTTCATCTAGTCGCGATCCACTCCCTCTCGCCGAGCCCAGTCAGCTCTAGAGGTTTGACTGCAGAGCTACCACGAGCTCCTCGTTTCGCTCCAGCTTGCTGTACAATGCCGACAGTTTTTCGTGCGAGGCAGCCATCCATTCAGTAACAGGACGAGTCGATCCAGTTCTTCTTGTCTTCCACTCCACTCGCGACCGATGATGGCAGTCAGAAGAGCATCACGCCGGCATTTCTCCTTGTTGATCGATGTTTCCAGCTCTTCAATCTCGTTGAGATGCTCCCTGGCCTCTGTCTCGCCGCAGTTGCTCTGGTGTTGAACGTAGACGTAAAAGTCCTTTATCGCCGCCTCATTCAGAACTATATGGTCCGTCATCCGCACGAATTCGTTGACTTGCGACTTCATGTCCGGCCCTGGAAGTGCTTGCTTAACCATCGGAAGAACCTCCATTGCACGGAGTATGGATTGGATTGAGGAGTCTCGGGTGCATACGATGACGTACTGGGCGACACGGGGGAACAGCAATTGCTCGTCTTGTCCAACGAATCCAGAGCCTCTTGATCCGCTTGAGGGGCATGGCGTTCCGACACCCGCACCTCGTCTTCAACTACAGTTGGCGGCGGTGTGGGCTTGACTGTCGGTCGTTTTCTTCTTCGCGAAAGCCAATCCGTGGGTGTTTTCCCTTGTCGCCTCCGCCGTATTTACTGTCATTGTGCGCGCTCTTTCAAGATTTTCGGCTTCTACATAGCTTCAAACCGATGCACGTCTCTTTCTGCTTGTGGGCATCGAGCCTCTGCTACTCCATCGCTGGTTTGACGCCGGATACACCCCGTCACCTTTCCTGGTCTTCATCACTCGGGCGTAGGCGAAGCTTTGGCGATAGCATCGTTCTTCCACCGGATTGTCCTGTAAAACCGCGAGGTTTATGGTCGGTATTGGATAATGCACCCCGAAAACGCCCCAAATCCCAAAGTTTTTCCCAAATGATTTAAGACCATGGGAACGTTTTGGTACATATTTAGGACAGAATAACCTTCAGTATGAAAGAGCAGCACAGGGCGGACACTCGCGCGTTGGCTCTCGTCTGCGGTCTTAGCGACGGGTCTGCGGGGGGCCCGCCCCTCTCTCGCTTCGCTCGGGGGGCGCCGCTGCGCGGCCTGCCCCACCCCCTTGTCCCTTACGCTAAGTTCCTCGTCTCGGCCAGGCGCGATGTCTAGAAAAAAAAAATATCGGGTTGCAGCGCTCGCGTTCGCTCGCTCGCACAGACACGCCCCCGCCTAATCGGCGGGTGTTGGCGATTAGTGAATGCATCGAGTGAGGCTCGCGCTCGCGCTCGCGTCCACTCGCCCATAGACTATAGACCATAATCAGTCAACTCCGTTTTGGGACATATTTGGGATAGTTTTACGAGAAAGCAGTCATATACTTGGCCCCAAATATGTACCTAAATGCTACAGGGACAATTCATTATTTGGGACATTTGGGGCGATTTGGGCACATATTTGGGATGCATTATCAGCTTCCTTATGGTCTTCGTACTGAGCCACCGCTCGAAGTTCACCTCGTACCGAGCTCTCGACTCGTTGGGTCGCAGAATCACTGGGATCGGTCGTAGCTGTCCGCGATTCATTGGTCCGTTGATCCCATAGGCTTCTGTCGCTTGGATAAACTCGGTCGGCGAGATCACATGCGTGTCGAGGAGTTCCTCACGGGTGCGTGACCGTCTGCAGTGGGCTCTGTGGAACTCACTGCCACTTTTGATCTCGTTCACTGCCGATTCACTCGTCAATGCAACGCGTTCGCGTCGCAGTTCCCAGGCTCGCGACTCTGCAAAGTCGATTCGAAATCGACGCTCAGCCTCCGGCTTGCTCCGCAGCATCCCGAGCGCTGTGTTTCTCCGCCTTAGCCAGTCCTCGAACGTTTGTTCATACATCGTTGGTGTCTCTCCGGCCTTCAGTAGCACGGGAACGGGCTTGAAACTCGGCGAGTTGTCCTCTTCACGAGCTGTTCGGTCTTCCTCTGCGATAAACTCGTCCAAAGTTATGATGCGAGTCGCCAAGAGTGTATTGCACCACTCGCGCGAGTTGGATCGACATGCCATGGCGAAATTTGGATTGTGAATGCCAGTACGGAATTCGAAATGGAAACTTCTATGCTGGTAAATCGCGGGGCCCCCTTGATGACCCCAGGCTACAGGTAGCTGCCGCGTCACTGCAGGTAGTTTCGCCCCCTTACGTCAATCCACAAGCCAGACTACCTCATCATTACCAACTTTGGTAACTGGATTGGTGCTTCCGTAGATGCCGCGACTGCTGGTAACACAAGCCACCCCCTGCGTTACCATCGTCATTCACACGTATCCCACACTTGTCCAGCTTATCGGCAACCAGCAACCGAAGTTTCTCGTTTGACCGCAGTAACATCAAACACAGATTTCGGCGTTCATCATCCAGTAGCGGCCGATGTGACATGGCTGCCGCTGCCATGTCTGATATCTCTTGCAGCTCCTGAAATTGAGGGTCTCTATCCGTAGCCGTCGGCTTCAACCACCTGAGTCGGTTCTTTAGCTTGATCGTCAGCGTAAAGATCTTGTTGCGTTCCTGCTCCAGCTTTTCATAAATGGCTACCAGTTTTCGGTGTGGTTCCTCTACTTCTTCATTGTCAGCAGACTCGAGCATAAGCTGCTCCAACTCGTTGCCTTTATCTTTCCATTCCTGAGCGATAATATAAGCCAAAATGGTATCCCGGCGCTGTTTCTCTTGGTTGGCAGCCTTCTTCAGCTCGGCGATGTGTCGCATGCTCTCAGCAACCTTGACGCTGTCGACGTTAGCCGTATTTTCCACGTGAACCTCGGAGTCTTGTATCGCTCCTTCGTTTCGCTCGATCTTCCCACATAGTTCAACGTATTCACTGACCCGCTTTTGGCCGGCAGGATCGACATTTATCTCATCTGAGCGTGTTAGGACAAGTGCCGCCGAATGGTAAATATCCGCGTTGGATGTGTCGAGTCCACGTTCCAGCTTCGCACCAGGAAATTGCCAATCGCCTGGCCCGCCGTCGTCAGTAGAACGAGGCGTGAAGGGCGGTTCTGATTCGGTAGTCGACGAAGTGCAACTAGCTGCGTCATTATCATTGTCACCAGTAGCTGCTTCCCCTTGGGGTCCGAGCTGTAACGTCAGCGTCGTATCAACGTCTAGCCGTGGCCGCTTCTGACTTGCAGAAAGTTGCTTCGCCCGGTGTTTGGACTCGTACGCTCTCGCGTACGCGAAGCACTGTCGGAAGCGCCGCTCCTCCTCCGGGTCCTGCTGTAGTGCAGCCAGCGTCAGTTTCTGCTTGGACAGCCACCGCTTGAAGTTCTCTTCATACCGAGCAGGAGTCTCCCCGGGTCGCAGCACAATCGCAATGGCTCGCAATGGCTGCTCAAAGTTTATTCGCCCGTTAGGACCATAGTGCGACATCGTCTTTAGAAACACGTCCGGGGGCACCACACACGCATCCAGCAGTTCATTTCGACCGCGAAGTCCCCGGTAGTCCTCCGAATTTCGTAAATTTGGCCCCAAATCGTGCTCCCAAGCACCGGAACTACCCTTTTCGTCCGAATTCTTGACGGAAAGTTGGTCGCACAACTGCGGGCGAGTCTTCATTGGGATGTTTCGGCGTCGGAGCTCCATGAACTTGGCGTTGGTATAGTCGAGTCGAAAGAGTCGTTCGACGTCAGGGCAACTCTGGAGGGAGTTTAGCGAAACGTTTCGGACAAACAGCCAGCGCTCGAAGTCTCGTTCGTAGTCAGTCATTGACTCGTCCGCTGCCAGCAGCACTGGAATCGGTTGTAACAGCGAATCTCCGGCTTCGTTGAGCGCCGCCTGCTCTTCTTGGTGTAGAAACTCATCGAATGTAACGAGTCGAGTAGCGAGCAGGTCCATGCGAAGCCCGCGAGGGCGAGAAGGAGGAGAGTGCGAACGCCCTTGAGGCTGCATGAATACTTTGGTAGATGCGGAGATACAAGCGTTTAACTGATATGCTCTTGCATTTGTGACACATTTATACAGTTTCAACGTTTGAAGCGAATCTTACGTAATTTACAATCATATTGTGAAAATTACGCACTAAACGTTTATTTACTAACGTAACTTACGATCATATCATATGATTCAAACTATGAAATTACCATATCATATTGCAAAAAATTACGAGCCAAATGCTTATTTACAAAAAAAGTTGTCGTTCTGCATGACGGTAGGTTCTCGGTTACGACAGGGGAAAAACGCGCAGGTTTACAAGAAACTAGTGTCGACCCACCACTGGGTCTTGTAGTTCGCGCCTAGAATCTCCGTGATAGGCACGGCCTGCGTCAATTTTCCACTGAATGGAACTCGCTGGTTCGTAGCTGCTCCAGCGCCGCGGTTGTTGAACTCCTTGAAGTGAACGTTGGCGACGTTGTTGTCCCCGTTCCACTTCTGCCAGCCTTCAGGGTTAATGACGTTGCTGAGGTCGCTGTTCTGCCACACTGCGCGCGAGTAGGGCTTCCAGGGGCGACCCAGGTAAGCCGTTCCAACGCCTCCAGTGCCAGTCACGCGCGCGTTGTTGAAGACGTACTCGGACGGGTTGGCAGCGGAGTCACGGCCATTAGCGGTGATGCAGCCCTTGCCGATGGACACGATATCGCACGACTCAAACCACGCCTTGGCGTACAGACCGAAGACGAAGTCGACAGCGCCGCTGATGTACGACTTGGCGTAGACACTGGGGCCCTGGTTGGCGTAAAGTGTATCCTGACCCCCCCCCCAAAAAAAAAAAAAATGTTAGACAAAAGTGAACTTGATTTCAAAAAGAAAAAAATAGAAAACAATACCTGATAACCGGTGAACTTGCACGCGTAGAAGCCGTAGTTTGCTCCATCGGCCTTTACAGCAATAGCCTGGCCGACGTTGCCGGCCGTGTTGGCCACGTTGAGGTTGTAAACCTTCACGTTGTTGGACTTTAGGAGAAGTGTCGTGGTCAGGTCGTTACGGTTCTTGATGACGGAGGCGGGAATGTCCTTCTGAGCCTTCGCTTGGGTGATCGTCACCTGGTTGGCGGCATACGACTTGGTATCGCATGTGTAGCCTTGCAGCACCAACGGGCCGTTCAATAGCGGGACTGTCACTTGCTCCTTGTACACACCCGGGTACACGAAGACGGTCTGCTGCGCGGCCGCGGGGGAAAGCTTAGCGACGCCTTGCGCAATGGTTCGGAAGCTTCCAGGGTGGCCACCCGTAGCGTCTACGATGATGGCACCTGCCGGGGGCGTGACACGAGCGTTGGGTCCGCTGCAAGCCCCGTCGACGGCGGCAGCGAGCCAGGATAGAGCGATGAGAGGAGCCAAGAGATGCATACTCCTTCGAGTTGGTTTGAGCAGGGAGACGAAAATTTTAAAGTGAGGAGCTGCTAGGAAGGGCCATCGCACTGCGATGCGATTAGCAGTGCTGGGCACATGAAAGTCAGCACGTTGATGTTTACAATGGAACGCCTGGTGTCCCAGCAAACGATATCTTATACGATACAGTTTCCCGAGTACAGTGGGAAGGTTTAAGTGTTGCGTCCTAGCCAAACCCCACACAAGTTGGGAGGGGGTGACACAACTAGGCGGGTGAAGCTGTACAAATAGGACGGCGTGCACACTCTATATGGATAATACTGTAGCTACAGCACATACAGTTTTCAATCAGAAATAATTACGCAAAAGTAGAGTAATCATACAGCACCCGGTAGATCTGAACTTAGGATGCTGGGGAATTTTATTTAAAAAAATAAAATAGCAAAAATCATTCTACTTCAATAATTAATTCATGACATCACCAATGTGAAACAATTTCTATCATACTGTGTACAAGGTCTTCCTTTTCAATCCCAACCGTTCGAAAAGTAAAAAAAATGTTTGATGCATGTATGTTTTACTTACTGTTAGGTAGGTGTTGTTGCTCTGTGCCAGATTTTCCTGGCACAGAGCTCTGATGCCACTCACCTTGTACCAAACTTTTTGTCGAGTTTGTCATGAAATACTCGCCGAAAGCTGCAACTTCTGCAGCTTCAAGACCAGCGTCGCGCTCGACTGCAGCATACTGGCACACAACTTGTCGTGCGCGGCATCGAGCAGTGGCTTCTCCAATAAAGCGGCGTTGAGATCACTGGACAACGCCTTCAGCCCCCGAAGCCGCTCATTTTGGTGCAGATTTCCCGCCACCAGCAAGCCTCTCAGCTTTCCCTGCAATCTTGCCACAGTCAGGTCGTTATGCATCATGCGGTTGTACACTGCGGCCAACTCAGCGTGCGATACCACGAGAGAGTTTGGGCAATCGCTTCGAGCCAGCATTTGATCCAATTGCTCCTTGTGGTCTCTCCATTCGTGGACGAGCACTGCAGCCAGCGCAGAGTCGCGTCGCTGTCTCTCGATCTCAACCGACATCTTCATCTCCATTTCTTGCCTGCACCGCGTTGCTTCTGCTTCGTCGTAGGCCGCCATCTCTTTCGCATACGCCTCAAAATCCACCGTCGCCCTTTCACCAAGATACACTCCACTACGCGCGTGTACTCCTCGACGAGGCGCTGCTTAGTCGAGTCCACGGTGACGCGCTTGGCCCTCGCCAGAATCTGCGTCGTGATGAGAATTTCCTGTCGAAGTTGCTGTTGGTTCATCGCAGCGGAGAAAATGTTGATTTCCGGGTTTGCCGGTCGATTGAGAGCTTCAACCGGTGCAAGTTGGCGAACGGTTGCTAGAGTTTCGCTAGCTTTGTTCGTTTCCACTGATGTTTGACCTTCGTCCACGAAAGAAGTAGGGAGATCTGGGCTTTGGTCTGTAGAAGAAGCATTGTCTGAGGTGCTGAGGCCACCCGTGGCTTTGCCGGCAGAAAACTCGACCCCTGCTTCAGATGCCGGGTTGAGCGAAGAAGCCGTGGGTGATAGCAAGGAAACCGCATCTTGTGCTGGTGGTGTTCCACCACCCAAGTCACGAACTCGCTTCTCAGAACTGCGACTAGAGTCTTGGTGCGGGGATGACGCGCACGCTTCCGCGACCAATTGCTGTCACAGCGATCGGAATCTCTTGACTTCCTTCGACGAGACTCCCTTGAAGTGCCCCTCGTCCTGCTTCCGCTCTCCCTGAAATTCCTTTTATCACGGCTCCTGCTCGTGCTTCTGCCTCGGCTGCGCGAGCGGAAGCGTGGACGCAGCTGCTTGTTCGATGTCGGGGAGAAATATCCACACTGCACCCTCGCGACGTGCTCCCTGGCCCTTGTATATGCAAAGGCTTGACGATAACAGCGCTCCTCCTCGGGGTCGTCCTGCAGCTCGGCTAGAGTGACTTCCTTGGATTCAAGCCACCGCTCGAAGTTCTGCTCGAAATATCGCCTCGGTTCGTTCGGTCTCAGCACCACAGCGATTGGCTTGAGCTTCTTCCCGGCTCGGAGCGGCCCATTGGGCCCGAAGCGCTCCACCGACCGCAAGAATGCGTCCGGAGACATCTCCTCCATCTCCAGCAGCTCCTCCCGACTACGAGCTCTGTGACTTCTCGTAGCAGTACTTACACTCTTGCGTCGCAGCTCCCACGCCCTCGAGTCTGCAAAGTCCAGACGGAATCGACGCTCCACCTCCGGCCTCGAGTGCAACGAGTCAAGCTCCGCATCTCTTCTTCGCAGCCAGTCCTTGAACGCGTTTTCGTATTGCTGGGTGGTTTCCCCTTGCTTTAGAAGCACTGGAATCCACGGAAGGGCCGAGTCGCGTGCGCGAGTTGGTCTTCCTGCGCTAGGAACTGGTTCAACGTCATAACTCGGGTCGCTAGCAAGTCCTAACGACGGTCGAGGAATTTCGTGTGGGGTGGCGGCTGGAGACACCTCATTGCGCTGGAAGAAGGCAAATTGAGGAATGGCAGGGGTCAAGGCGGGAATTCTTCTCAACTTCAACATGCAATGACAAATTTCGCTGGAGCATTTTTTCTTTTCGTTGAGCTTGAGAAACACAGCTAGCTAGATGACCTCGCTATGGGATATTTCACAGGCTTGTCCCCACATTCGCGATCAAGTTGCTATGATATTGACGTGTTGATTGCAGAATTTTTTTTTACGTACGTAGTATTCTATTTTTTTAGTGAGGTCATTTCATTGTAACTTCAAGCAAAAAATAAAACTCAAGTTCGCGTAATGCGGCGGCCGGACATTCCCAACAGACTTACAACCAGTTTGCCCCACGTTTGTGGAACTAAATGCCGTCTATTTGTTCTACGCACAAAGGGATCTCGCTGAAGATTCTAACCCGCTAGTTTAGTACGCGGCACTGGTGTCAGCTTTCTTACAAGAAACTGGTGTCGACCCACCAAGTTCGCTCCGAGGATTTCCGTGATAGGCACAGGCTTCGAGAGTCTCCCACTGAAGCCCACACGCTTGTTGACAGCAGCACCAGCGCCGCGGTTGTTGTATTCCTTCAAGAACACATTTGCGACGTTGTTGTCCCCGTTCCACTTTTGCCAGCCTTCGGGGTTGATTGCGTTGCTAAGGTCGCTGTTCTGCCACACTGCGCGCGAGTAGGACTTCCAGGGGCGACCAAGGTAGGCCGTTCCAACGCCACCAGTGTCGGTCACCCGCGCGTTGTTGAAAACGAACCCAGACGGGTTGGTTGCGGAGTCTCGGCCGTTAGCAGCGATGCAGCCCTTGCCGATGGACACGATATCGCATGATTCGAACCACGCCTTGGCGTACTGACCAAACACGAAGTCGACGGCGCCGCTGATGTACGACCTGGCGTAGAGGTTCGGGCCCTTGCTGGCGTAAAGCGTGTCCTGGTATCCCGTGAAGTCGCACGCGTAGAAGCCGTAGTTGGCGCCGTCAGCCTTGTCGGCAATGGCCTGGCCGACGTTGCCGGCCGTGTTGGCCACGTTAAGGTTGTACACCTTGACGTTGTCGGACTTGAGGAGAAGAGTCGTGGTCAGGTCGTTGCGGTTCTTCTTGATCGACGCGGGGATGTTCTTCTGAGCCATAGCGTGGGTGATCGTCACTTGGTTGGCAGCGTACGACTTGGTGTCACATGTGTAGCCTTGAAGAACCAACGGACCATTGAGCTTCGGCACGCTCACTTGCTCATGGTATACACCGGGGAACACGAAGAGGGTTTGCTGCGCCGTTGTACCGGTAAGCTTTGAGACGCCTTGCGACAAGGTCCGGAAGCTGCCAGAGTGAGCACCCGAGGCGTCGACGACGATGGCCCCTGGTGGAGGAGTGACACGGGCGTTGGATCCGCTGCATGCACCGTTGACGGTGACAGCGAGTCCGAATAGAGCGACGAGTGGAGCCAAGAGCTGCATGGTCTGTTGAGGTGGTTTGAGCCGGGAGAAGGAAATCTCAACCTGAGCGAAGGACTGCTAGCAAAATCTATCAAACGTATCCGCACAGCAGTTCGACAACCGAAATATACAGCACTGTAGTCAGTTGAATTCTAGACCAACCATGCGGATATTCGTTTGCACGTGAAGCTGTAAATGATGCAAAAATCATCGCGTTGTACGAGCGTTTGTAGCGACAAAAACATGCTTTGCATGACAGATATACATCATTTACGTTAGGAAATTGTGCAGTTGGGCTTTACTGTGCTGGGTCTCAGGCGCGAGATCGTAACTTATCGTAAGTTTGGTGTGGTTGACTTACCTGGCTGTTCGAATGTGGGTAGATCCGTATTGTAATTTGTTAAAACCAAATCTTCACTCAAACTCAAATTCCCTAAGAGAAAAGTGCAGTGGATCTCAAAAGCCCATGAGAATTCTGCAGAGGCAAGAGCATATAGTCACGACCAACCACCTGCAAGTCTCGGTACTCCGAAGCGAGACGGTTAAAGCTCTTTTTCGCAACACTCGTTTGCAGAGTTGAAATCAATCCGTACCATAATCGTCCGAGCGTCAAATGCAAAACTTTCCTGGATCCTTCCTTCTACGTAGCGTTGCACCAGTTTCGCCGGTCGGACAATCCACAGGCGTGGTAGTGAACGGAAGGACGGGGAGTCTTCATACAGTACAGTACCCGCTGCAATTCTAAGAACCAAGTAGTCACGAGCCAACAGCAAAAGTCTGCACAGGCATTGCATGTACACCACAAAAGTAGCTAAATAAAAACCACAGTAAAATGAGTAGGACTCGGCATATTGGTGTTGAGATTGAATCAGTAGTAGTCGGGAACAACCTTGAACTTTACACGCTTTGCAACATCCTGCAAGCTACCTTGGCAGTACACTCCTGCGTTCGTTCTTCTCGCCAACCAACTTCTTGTACTTCAACCCAAAGTTTCGTGCTGTGCTTACTCGGCTTTACACTCCGTCTTAACCGTACCAGCAGCGCGCTGGATACCTTGAACGTGACCTTGTCCGGTCGATTCATTTGCATTAACCCGTGAGCGCTTCTGCTTCCGAACGGCTTCGTCGTCACTGTACTCCCGCGGCGCGCTCGTCCTGCGCTTCGAATACGGACGCTCTCTTGACGAGCTTCTCTTGGTGCGGTTGCTCCTGCTTTCGCACGTTGTTGTACTCTGGCGGCTTCTACTACGTGAGCGCCGGTGGACTGGAAACTTCGGATTGGCAGCACGAGCGTACGCAAAGCACTGCCGATACCGCCGCTCCTCTTCCAGGTCGTCTTGAAGCATGTCCAGCGTCACTTTCTTCTTGGCCAACCACCTCTTAAAATTCACCTCGTAGAACTCCGGCGACTGACAGGGATCCAACACAATAGGAATGGGTCTCAATCCCTCCCCGACCATCATTCGCCCATTGGGACCCTCCATTTCATCAGCTCGATGGAGCTCTTGTACAGACACCACGCTTGTTCTCAGTAGCTCTCTCCTGCTGCGAACGCCCTGGTAATGGTAACGTTTGCGAGCGCGACTTGAATTCATCGTAGTAGCTGCTGACATTGACCGCGTAGGCGGAGCTAGTCGCTCCACCATCTTCCGCCGCCGCAGCTTCTTGATTCTCGAGTCTGCGAAGTCCAGGCGGAAGAGCCTCTCGACTTCCGGGTCGCCCTCTAAAGTCTCCAAAGTGATGTTCCGCTTGAATAACCAGAGCTCAAAACTCTGCTCGTACAGCTTCACAGTTTCTCGAGGGAGGAGAAGTACAGGGATCGGTCTTGACGCAGAACGATCAACTCCTTCCAGCGTCATTTGCTCGTCTTCAAGTGTGTATTCTTCGAGTGTCATGGTCCTAGTCGCTAGCAAATTCTTACGCCGCTCCTGACAGTACCGTGTGGACGGAGTCATTGGGTCGCTCGTTCGTTGCTGGGGGAGACTTCGGGTGTGCGAACTGGGACGAGGGGCTACGGAAGTTCTTCTCAACTGTGGCAGCTGTCCAATAACTGAATGACTTGAGTGCGGATCGCTTCGTTCGGCTGCAGCAACTTGACGCAGAGCACTCGGCGTTGGTCTTGAACCCTCGACATCAGCACAAACTTGGCTGACAATGCGGTTGATATCCCCTGGAGCTCTTCACATTGAGAAGTCCGCTCTGTGTCATTGAAGTCGACGCCCTTGAGCCAGCTGAGCCGATTTCTCAGCTTCACTTGCAGCGCTTGCATCTCGGTTCTGACCTGCTTGGTCTTTTCGTAAACTGCTGCCAACTTATGGTGCATGTTGCCTTCTTCCTCGGTGAATTCTGGCTGATCGAAGGCTTGGTAGAGCTCATATTGCCTCCCTCGCCACTCATGAGCAACTACAGCGGCTAACGCAGCATCTCGTCGCCCCTCTTCGACGCTTATCTCGTTTCTCACCCGGCTGGATTGCGCTCGCTATCGAAAGCTTGAACTTTTGTCTTCATCTGCAAAACTTTCTCGTTCAAACGGGTATACGCCTGGACTAGTCGCTCCTGAGCCGCATCCGTCACTAGCCGCATCGCTTTCGACATCAACTCGGTTGCAGTCTTGACGATGTTCGCGTTGCGCGCGGGCTGGCCCACCGCCTCATTCTTGATCGCGATGCTGCTAGTATCGCCGCCACTTGATAAGCTAGCAGAATTCTTCTCCTTCACCCGACCACCTTTCTCGCTCGCCTCACTCTTTTCAGCTGCTCGTGTTTCATTTTCTTGTCGGAGGCTCCGCAATTCTTGGTTCATCTCTGTTAGCTGAGCCTGCAGCCGACCTTCCATCTCCGCTATCTGCCGAGCCAAGTCGCAAGAACACGGTGGCTGGGGGGGGGGGGTTCGTTATGCTCAGATTCTTCGACTCGCAGCTCGTCGTTAGCTGTCACCCTCCGACGCTTGCGCCCTGAAGACCCCGCAGAAGCGTAGCTCTGCACTCGAGAGTACACAAAGCATTGACGGAGTCTTCGCTCCTCCTCCGGGTCGCTCTGCAGCATCGAGAGTGTCAGCTCCTGCTGCTCCAGCCATTCAAGGAAGCTCCACTCGTAGTCGTCGGCAGATTCGTCGGGTCGGAGCACCACCGCGATGGGACTCAAGCTCTCGCGCGGATGCACGAGGCCGTTGGGACCGTAGGCTTGTGTTGCGCGAACAAACTCTCCTGCTGACATCATCCGCGTGGCGAGCAGCTCGTCCCGACTGCGGAGACCTTCGTACGTAGGCATGGCCGCTGGATTTATGACCCGTCAATCCTGAGGACCCTCACGATTTTTGTCGGACAATGTGACCGTACGACAACCCGGCCATCAAGCTTTTCACAACTCTGGTAGTTTTCTGTCTTTCACCTTCACGAAGGTAAGACTGCTCTCAAAAATACCCCGCTGCATTTGTTCACAAGGTAAGTTCATTTAAGAGAATATGAGCAGCCCATTTGAATTATCTGAGCATGCTGTGTCTTGAATCTTTCGTAAAACTACTCGATTCTCCTCCCGAACTTACTTCGCGAGTTGCTCAACCTCCAGACTCGCGAGGACGAAGGCTCCCTCGCCCAGTGCGTGGTTCTGCAGGGTGGGTCGGCCGACGTAGTAGTCGTACGTGGCTGTCGAGTTGAGGCTGCACACGATCACGGTGCCGTTCCAGCCGAGCGTGCCGTTGCCGTAGTCGAGCAGGAAGGCCCCGCTCTTCACCGTGTAGTCGTACGCCTTCATGGCGGCGGCCTTCAGTCCGTGGGCGTCCTCGAGGAGACCGAGACGCAGGCCCTTGAGGATGGAGAAGGTGTAGAGCATCGTGGACGAGCTCTCGAGGAAGTTGCCCTTCTGGCCGCCGAGCGTCGGGAGCTGCCACCACACGCCCGTCTTCTTGTCCGCGTATCGGACGATGCTATTGCACAGCACGGAGGTCTGACGCTGGATCTCAGCGGCCAGCGCCTTACAGGACGCATTGGCTCCACCGTTGCAGTTTCCGATCTTCTCCCACGCGTTGACAAGACCAGCGAGGTACCAGCCCAGCGACCGACCCCAGACGTAGGGGCTGGCACCCGTGGCCTCGTTGGCCCACACAGCCTTCTTCTGGGCGTCGTAGCCGTGCACGACCAAGCCCGTGGACTTGTTGTACGTGTTGGAGTAGAGCAGCTTGATCTGCAGCAGCATATCGTCATACGTCCAGCCCGGAGCGGCAGCCATGTAGGGCAGGAAGGAGACCGCGCCGTCGAGGTACGACCAGTACGGGTAGACGTAGTACCAGAAGCCATTGTACTGGTTGCGGTTCTGCAGGCTCAGCGACGTGTTGAGCAGCGTCAAAGTGTCCGTCTCGACCGCGGTGAGGGACCCCTCGGTCGACTTGATGTTCAGCAGGGCCTGGCCGATCGTGAACCGGTCCAGAGGCATCTTCGCAGCGGACGCGGGGTCCTTGAAGGATGGCGAGGTGGACGTCACGATCGAGTCCGCGTACGTCGTGAACTTGGAGACGCGGTCCGAGTCGCCGCCGTCCTTGCCGTGCGTGTTGAGCCACGACTGGATGGCGAGCGTCAGGACGCCCGACTCGAGCGTGCTCGTCACGGCGCCGGAGGAGACCACGCCCTGCTTGCGGCTGATCACGCTCTCGATCATGCGGGTCGAGTACGGCAAGTCACCCGCGGCGGACGTGGCGGCGGCGAAGGCGGCGGCGATGAACGGCAGGGCCAGGAACTTCCTCATGGTGGCAGTCGGTTGTGAGGAGGCGAATTCACTTGTGAGCGAGTGATTGAAGCAGTAAAATCCTAGACTACGACTTCCGTGGTTACTGGGACACGTACCCAGGCGTCGTACTCTTGTAGGAAGGCGCACGAGATGTGTTGCCAATCACCAAGTGGCATCCATCCAGCTCCGTACAGCGCGTGTATCGCGTTCCTCGGCGAAGCAGCATGTTGTATAGCTTAAAAGCTTAGGCGGTGAATTGCGCCGTCTAAAGTACTGTAGTTATCCGCTCCATGTTCGTGTTTAGCATTTAATACCTTTGGCTGGCAGGTTTCCGAGCTGTCCTGGACACTTGTTGCTCTTGTTTAACGTTGAGGTTTGCAGCGCCTGGCAGATTACACTTTGAAGCGCACTCGGGGTTAGAGACGACATTCGGATTTCGGATTGGCATTTCTGTCTCATCCGGTTCAACCGGTTTGAAAATCGAATAAATCCGGTTATATTCGAATGCATTCGGATTGTTTGACTTATTACATTATGGAGTATCCTTCTATATACGAATAAATCAGCAATCGGCTACCACGGGGTAATAAATGATACACATTTTTTGAGTGATCATGATTGGATAAAATCAGAATGTGTACAAAGAAATATCCCGAACCAAATTCGGATTGCATCCGGATGAACCCGGATCAGAATCCGGATTTTTATTGACCGGTTGCATTCGGATTTCATTCGAATGCAACCGGTTGAAACCGAATTCGGCCATCCTTTTACATTCTCTACTCGGGGTCATACCGGTACATAAGAAAGGGCGAATTGGACACCTGGCTCAGTGCCAGCAAACCGATGGTCAACGATGCCAAGGTGCATGAACCTGCTCAGGCTGCACAGAAACCTCGAGCAATCCCGGCAATTCAGTACCGGGATTGCAGGAGGGCCGATATGCCGTGGTTCACAAACAAATCGTTCTGTTGGCTACAGCCTGCAGTTCTCAGTCCTAAAACTGCAGAATCTCTCGACAAATCGAGTTGATCGTCAACAAAATAAAAAATACGAAGTTTATTGCATTTGTTTTCAACGTTAGAGCAGCCCTTGTCCGTACATTTGCAGAGCACTCGTCCAAAAACATACCCCGCTGCTGTGAAGTTAGCATCCCATGAATATGAGTTGGATACCTTTCAACTAAAGTGGGTATTGTGGGTTCTACTCAAAATTGGAGTGGTCGATTGGTTCAATCAACCGCCCCCGAATCGCCCCGGTACTATGCTAGGCTATTTTAGGTGCTGAATCCGTACTTATACAGAATGAAAAGGTATGTCGTCGTTTCATAGCCTTTTGTGGTGGGAGTCGATTGGAAGAACCGGCCCAAACGTCCAAATTTGGCCGGAATTCACAATATCATGGGAGACTTTCTACGTCACTTTCCTAATGAAAGTTGCTAGGGACTTACGAAAAGAAACATCGATGAAAACTTACATTTCCAGCAAAAATATTGGCTGAAAGCCTGGTCGAAAACCTGCTTCATATTCAGTGATTGACGTTGTCACCACTCCACGACATGGGCAAGACCAGTGAGAGCATGGAACTGGGTCACTGATCATGGCTTGAGTTGGTCCTACCTTTGGGGTTCAATACCGGTCTCTACCGTACATGATTGAAACGAGATAGAACTTATACGCCAGCATAGTTTCACAATGACTTACGCGCTTCTGGAAGCTATTCTACCTGCCCTTGATGCTGTCGCTGAGTCGCAGATACGCGGGGCCTGTTTACCTTGATGAAATATGGACACTCCGCATATCATATGAGCGGATTGTGTTCACACTGATCAGTCATACCACGTTTGTCGACCATGTGTATGGCGGGCGCATTTCAATGCATCATAACACTACTGCTAAGATGAACCCTTTCGTTATCGCCATACATTTCTGTTTGAAGAGACACCATACAAACTTCAAGTTTAGAGCGCTAAAAGGGTACTTGAAGTACCCTTCTAACTTATAAGATGACAGAGGTTTCCTTGTGAATATATAAAAAGAGATAGGTTCTATGCGCCCTTTCGATAAAAAGAATACATCAGGTACCACTGTACGGATACGTTTTGATTGGAGGATAAGACGCAAAAATAGCAGTATGACCAGTACCGTGGGGATCCTACCGCAACAACTGCAGCATGAGCAGTACTGTGGGGATCACCGGGGAAGCCTTGCATGTTCACGGCACTGTGTAGGGTGTATTCGAGCGCCGTGCTGCGCGTACCTGCTTGAGGTGGACGAAGTGTGCATCCTGCTGTACTGGGGCTGGACGGACGAGTACGACGTGGAGCTGCTCATGCCGCTGCAGCGCGTGGTGGACCGCATCGACCTGGTGCTGGTCTCGCACTTGGACCTGGCGCGCATGGGGGCGCTGCTCAACGCCATGGCAAGCTGGGGCTTAACGCGCCCGTCTACGGCATGCGGCCGATGCACCGCATGGGGCAGATTCCACTGTATAGCGCCTTCCAGGCAAAGACCAAGCTCGACAGCGACTTCTCGCTCTTCTCGCCGGACGACTTGGACGTCGTCTTCGAGCACTTCATGCAGCTCAAGTACTTGGACAAGTTCATGCTCACGAGCGGTGGCGAGGGAATCGTCATAACGCCCAATGTTTCTGGCCACCTCATTGGCGGCGCGCTCTGAAGGGTCATGAAGGAGACGGTAAGACGGGAGGTAGCATACTTTTTGCCTTTGGACGTGGACTGACGGGTGTGTTTGATGTAGGACGACATTATATACCGATGGAATACAACCACTGCTCGGAGCACGTGCTGCAGAAGACAATCCTGGACTTTTTTTCGTGAGTTTTCCAACGCTAGCGGACGCTTGTGGTGGTGGTATCCTGTTGTGCTGATGATGGATTACTGTTTTGCTGTTGTTGATTGCAGATGCCCGACGCTGCTTATCACAGGCTCGATAAACATCCAGAGAGCAAGAAACTACCGCTGCTGTTCTCATCGTTGTCGCCCTCTCCTGCCTCACTGCCCGTGCGCCGCGGAGCGTTTGTGCTGCTACGCTCCGCCTGCTGTGTCTCCAGTCATTCGAGAACGCCGCGTTCGTGGCCTCGCTGCTCTAGCAGATCCTCCTCCGCCCAGGTGTCCTTCATCGATCTCCCCGTGGTCCTCCCACCGGCCGAGCAGGCAGCCATCGCCCGTCCTTCTGGCCGAGACGTCCCTGGCGGTTGGGCGATGTCCGCGTGCTGCTGCCCGTGACCGCCGACATGCGAGGCTTCGAGTGCGGAGCGGCAAGGGTGACGTCGACAGCAACATGAAGTGGCCGCTCCAGCTGCAGTATCGACACCCGTTGATTGTTGGCTACTGATCCTGCAGCGGCGGGTGGGAAGTGACGGAGTTGATTTGATCCCGGATGGTAAGCTGACTGTTGGAAAGATAAAAAGCTATCGTTCTACTGATACGTTTTTGTGGCTTCGTGTGTTGTGCCTTTGTCGTTTACAGGAGGCTGTGCAAGTGACCTTCAAGTTGACGAAGATGAGCACATGAATTGTTTTCGCCGGACCTCAAGCTTATCGCACTGTAATGACAAAGCTGTGGTTTTGTGATCGTTAGTATATGTAATGAGATAGACTGTTACAACTACGCTTCATGGTCATTCGCTTTCTCCTGTTCCCGGCGCTCTTTCAAGAACTGATGCTGCGCTTTATACATCGCAGACGTCCGTTTCAAGTTGCCGTCAATTGTGTAGACTTGCTTGGGCAGGTAAAATAGGTGATATTTCTGCCAGCACGTCCAAGATTCTTGCTGACACAGGTGCGGTTTTGTTGGGTCGATGGGGTATGAACGCTTGCACAGAGCAACTCCATGCTTTTCGCATTAATCGGTCTTTTGGGTGGAAGTTCTGCATTCAAATTTGCAAACTGTGCATTTGCGTTTCGAGCGGCTTCTCCCTTTTAGCACCATCCACGATTCCTTTGCGACGCACATCTGTGGTGGATCAGCTACTGGTGGATTTGGTGCTTGGGATGGCGCTGGCGCCTCTGCAGTGCTGGTAGCATACACCATACCGCAGTCAGTATTGATGCACTTCTTCCAGTCCCCGTTGAATAACTCGGTGTCGGATAACACGTCCTAAAACGATTCCTAAAGAGTCCTAATTGTCCTAAAAAACTCTCGAAAATTACCGTGAGATGTCCTAAAACTCGTATAATCCTTCGTAACAGAATATAATAAACTACGTCCTACGAGCTGTCTTAAAACCTAGTTTTATGAATATTACGCGTTTTATTGGTGACCACATTGTTTGATACGCGTAATTTAGAGCGTTCGCAACGTTATTTACGCGTAATTACGGGCTCATCCTAGCCCCTCGTCGAATGTCAGACCCCACAGTGCAGTGCTGCCAGCAATTTCACTTTTTGCAGCCTAAGTGTGAGAGCCCAACCTTCTTCGCATGGACCACGGCGGGTATTCATTCTGCGTTAAGCGCACATGCCCGGAAACAAACACGATCTACTACAGCTGCAAGAAGTTTCGTGAGGGATGCAAGGCAAGACTGATTGTCCGAGGAGGAGCCGTCGTCGCAGAGAAGAGTGTGCACAACTGTAAGGATGAGCCCAAGCCAGAAGTTGTGGACGTGCGCAAGAAGATGAGAGTGGAGCTCCAGCGCTCTAGCATCACCAAGATGTCAATCCCACCGGCGGTCCTGTGGCAAGAGGTGTACGACGATCTCACGCTTCGCTACGGCGGAGAAGGTATTGCGCTCAAGATCATCCCTGCGAAGCCGGCCGTCTCTATCATCAAGCACACGCACAAGGATTGCTCTGGCGGTGATGTCTTTGAAGCCATTCTGACCCAAGCTGTTCGGTGCGTGAGTGACATGGATGCGAGGGCCTTTCTTCAGTTCAGCGTGGTCCACCCCACCGCCGCGGGCTCCGGAATGCAACGTCTGATCGGACTGACCCATCCCGACTTGGCTCGAATTCTACGGTACCCGAAGATCACGCTGTTCATTGACGGAACATTTGCGGTGGTTCCTAAGCCGTTCAGTCAGTGTCTGATTGTGATGGCTTTCGAGCCTTCTGTCGACCTCTACGTGCCTGTTTGCTATGTACTGGTGCAAGTCAAGTCCCAAGAAACGTACTGGCGGGTTCTCAACGATCTCGTGATCCTGAGCAACCGCCAGCTGGAGCCCGAAAATGTCACGTGTGACTTTGAGTCCGCCCTTATCAACGCTGTGCTGGAGCAATTTCCGACTGCGAACCTCGTTGGGTGCCTGTTCCACTGGAAACAGGCCCTCCGTCGGAAAATGCTTGAGCTGCGGCTACCCGAAGACCAAATCAAGGACGCTCTCAGCCCAGGGAAGCTCGACACTCACGGTTATCCCGGAGGACCAAATCGCTGAAAAGGTGCGGACTATTTTTTGGGGTGACCATTTTTTTGTGTCTGACCTATTCTGATAAATGGCTGCATTGTAGGGTGTGAGGTACGTGAGGAGTATTGTCGGCGAGACCGGTTCGAAAACAAAATGGAATACTTTTTGGAAGTATTTCCTCAAGACCTGGACGCAGCGATTTGATGTCACGACCTGGAACGTTCATGAAATGGTGCGGTGCGGTGTTGACATTGTTAACCGCACCAACAATCCGCTGGAAAAGTACAATCGTGACTTCGCGTCGCGAGTGGGTACACACCCTAGCCTGCTTACCTTCATTGAAGGCACCAAGCAAGAAGCAGCCCGCTATCTCCAGCGCATTGACGACATCAAGAAGGGACTCCAGACGGCTCCGCAGCATGCTCCGCCAGTAGTGCCAGGCATCCCAGCTGGCTATGCGGACTTTAAGTAGGATAGTACGGTGTTCGGACGCTGATAATGCAGTCCTGCTTCAACGGGAGCCCTTGCTAACAAGTTGCCAAAAAATTCCATTTGTCCTAATTGGACAGCTCCCAGTTATAGTCAACAAAGTGTCCTAATAGGACAACTGCCAGTTCTAGGCAGTTAAGTGTCCTAGTAGGACAGCTCTCGGTTATTACTCGACTAAGTGTCCTAATAGGACAGATCCTCATTTAGGTGAATTGTTGTTGTCCTATTAGGACAGATTTCGGTAAGTGAATTGTGGCTGTCCTATTAGGACAGCTCCTGACCAGCCCGTTCGTCCTAAAACGAGCTGTGTTGTCCTAATTTTTGGTACCGTTTATGAGCAAACTGCAAGTAATATACCGCATTTTTTAGGACAATAGGACATCTTAGGACGTCTATTAGGACGTGTTATCTTTTACCGGAAAATGAGTTCCAACTGCGAGTTTATAAAACGCGCGCCGCACGGCGCGACACAGGGAGGATTTTAGGCGGGATCTACGCGCTACCCAATCATACGAAGCCGTGTATTTCGCGGTCGACGCGTGATTGGCTAAAGCGAGCCCAAGGAAAAAAACTCGCGCTTCAGCTAGAGGCAGCTTACTTTGACTTCAACCACGAGTAAGTCGTCCGAGACGGCTAGATAACTCGCTCACTTGAAGTCGAAGTTTGTCGCACTTGGGTCGAAAAGTCGAGGGAGAAAGGAGGACGCATCAATACTATGTAACAAGACGTATGTATTAGGAGCTGGTGTTTTGGCATGGCAATTCATGCGATGGCAAATGGATACAGCACTGCACCAGTGCCCACGGCGACCGCCACGCTGGTCATGCCGGTGATGAAGCCAGGTATTAGTAGTAGCATCGTTTACATTTACGGTAAATGGTGTTGATGCCCCGCGGGTGCCAATGCACGCACCAATTGACAAAGTATATGCAAGTAAGCTGTAGTTTTCAGGGATTGGGTGGCCTGGCAGTGTCGCCAATGCACTGCAGCCATGCTCTACCTCATGCCTATCTCGATCAATTCTGTCCCAGCGCCGTAAATTGGGCAGGTAGTACTGGCGGCACAGCCGAGCTTTAGGCGGTCGGGTGTCCATTGGTGGTGTTTGAATGTAGTATGTAGCTCCTCACATGAAATGTGCCAACGCTAAGGTGAGATAGTCTCGTTGTCATTGGGTTCCGCACGTTGGCGTGCCGGTCGCGACGACGCCTGCAACCGTAGCAACCGGGACGAAGAACACGCAGAAAATATCATGTACTGAGTCTATTGGTGTAATGCGTAAGAACGGTCGGAGCCGTGACGACTATTATCGATCAATCTAACACAAATTCTTCCTCACAATGGTACCCCATGTAATGGGCATATCAGGCACATTTCATGTGAGGAGCTACATACTACATTCAAACACCACCAATGGACACCCGACCGCCTAAAGCTCGGCTGTGCCGCCAGTACTACCTGCCCAATTTACGGCGCTGGGACAGAATTGATCGAGATAGGCATGAGGTAGAGCATGGCTGCAGTGCATTGGCGACACTGCCAGGCCACCCAATCCCTGAAAACTACAGCTTACTTGCATATACTTTGTCAATTGGTGCGTGCATTGGCACCCGCGGGGCATCAACACCATTTACCGTAAATGTAAACGATGCTACTACTAATACCTGGCTTCATCACCGGCATGACTAGCGTGGCGGTCGCCGTGGGCACTGGTGCAGTGCTGTATCCATTTGCCATCGCATGAATTGCCATGCCAAAACACCAGCTCCTAATACATACGTCTTGTTACATAGTATTGATGCGTCCTCCTTTCTCCCTCGACTTATCGACCCAAGTGCGACAAACTTCGACTTCAAGTGAGCGAGTTATCTAGCCGTCTCGGACGACTTACTCGTGGTTGAAGTCAAAGTAAGCTGCCTCTAGCTGAAGCGCGAGTTTTTTTCCTTGGGCTCGCTTTAGCCAATCACGCGTCGACCGCGAAATACACGGCTTCGTATGATTGGGTAGCGCGTAGATCCCGCCTAAAATCCTCCCTGTGTCGCGCCGTGCGGCGCGCGTTTTATAAACTCGCAGTTGGAACTCATTTTCCGATTTGCGTGAAGCCGAGCAACCCACCTATCCGGGCCGTCGAGGTGCTGCTGCTCACAATGCCGCCAGCCTCACCAGTACAAGAGTCGCATCGAGGCCACGCTGGCCAACGGCGCCGCTACCCGACCCCATCAACTGCGACACGGCGACGCTGGCCCACGGGAGCCGACGACGGGACTGAATGGGCGGCCTGCTGCCCGATTGTCCGCCGGCGTCAAGTTCGACTCGGCCACTGAGGCGTCGGCGGATACACGGGAGGCACGCTAACGACGACGTCAAGCGTAACGCGGCCTCGGAAGGATCGGCGAACACATGAGCAGCACGCCGGCCGGCCACACCGTGGACGACACGGCTACGGGAGACACAGAGGGTAGTGAAGGCTTTTCGGGGCGGGGGCACAACGCACGACGCTAAGGCTACACCGGCGGGCGCTGCTAATGCTAACACCTCGTGAGCACGATTTGCCTTGCGACTTGCAATATATTATTTGTACCTTTATCAATACAGTCGGTAGTCCTCGACATCACATTGAATGTAGTGATAGGCTTTCAGCACGGCACCTCACCTTCAGATCCCTGGGGTTATCGGCGATCGGCACGGGGCCTCTTCTCGATCAACCCACGTGAGGTAGATCTTCCTTGCCTTTGCGAGCTCTGCGAGCCCCACGATCGCGGCCATTCAAGCGATATTGGATCATGCGATCTTGGGCCTGGGAGCATGCTCTGGCAGTGCGAGCGCGACCCTTCTCCTCATTTCGAAGTCCTCGCGGTCACCAGCAGAGCACCAATAAGTATGGAGAAACAACAACCAGACGCAGGAACTTTCCGCACCGACGCTCACATTTGACACACTCCTTCCTGTGTTTGTGCCGCGCAGAATCGAGTAAGTCTTCGTTTGTCTTTTCAGTAATAATGGCCGTCGATATCTTACCTTTGTGTACAAGGTGTTTGAACCCCGCTTTGGATCGAGCTCCGACATAGATGACTTGGCCGACATACTGCCCATTTCTGAAATGCACGCGATGTTTCGCGAGTCTAACCTTCATCGCATGGAAGAGCAAAACATACACAACGTGATATGGTTGATGTATTGGCTTGAGAACTGCATGGACCTGTCCGAGGTAAGGATCAAAACATATGACACCGGAACATTTTCATTTGCAATCTACTAACTGTTGGTCTGACAGATCACAACCGAAATGATCCAGGACCGAGATTGGTTTCTCTCGCACTATATCTACGAGAACCGCGTTTTCCTCAGTACGCCACAAGAATGCGTACCTGGCCGCAATCCCAACGGCGGCATCAAGAGGTTCCAACCAGCAGACTTCGTCGGAAAGGAGGAGCTCGAGAAGCTGGAGAAGATTAGGCCGAAGGTAGCAAAGCTTCTTGAAATGGCTGACTTGCTATATTTTCACGCCAAGGATGCAATATGCCGCTGCGCTAGATGTACCTATCATCGTACGCCTAGCTGGTTACAGAAGCAACCCGAAGGTCTAGCATACGATGTTCTTCCTACGGTGAAGCTTCCCGACGAATAAATAACGGCTCGGCACTTTCTTCCTTTCGCATCGTGGACGTCTAGCTATGAATTATATGTGCATGCTCACTATTCTGGCATGCCCAGTTTGTCGACCTTGCTTGTGGCATCGTGATGGCCACGCTCGTGATGGCATACTGGTAGCACTCAACCCTGGTTCGCTCGCGCCAGTGCTAAATACCAGCCATAAAAGTACGTACTCCAAGAGACATAATAGTGTGATGGAAATTCATGAGGTTTGGCCGTTACTGATAGACCTTTCACAGCTAGGTTATTGGTGGGAACTTAGACGACGGTTCGTAGGCTTCTCAAAATGCGACGGTAAAATATCTTCATTCCAGTATTGACCGAACTAAAAGATACTTCAAGTATCCTTTTGATCACGATAGGGTTAAGGATACATATAGCGAAAAGAAGGGTCCGACCAGAGAAGCCGAGGACTAGCGAATTATAGACACACAAATCCTCAGAACTGCCGACGCCTGCTATGGGCGTGAAAAAGTTGTTAACCCAGGATACATCACGGAACGGAAAAGCGCTGACAAGAAGGTGAGTGCAGGGAGAAGAGGTAGCTCCTTATTCGGCTATTGTAGATCTCTTGGCACAGTGGACAAGGCAGAGATGCAGACAGCGGTCATGTTCATGATACTATACTAGCTGATGAAAAACCGAAGAAAACTTTGCAAACGCCATTCAATGGATTGTTGCTCTTGATTTCCCCGAATCGTATACTACAGTGTATATGTTTATATTCTGGGAGAGCAGTAAAGCTGCTAGCGCAGACCACATTCGCTTATTTGAAGCCGATCAGATGAAGCCTCCCGTTTAAGTTAACATTAAAAGTGATGGAATATAGTGGAATCAGATATTTAGATACATAAATGGATAAATCCGATCCGATGGTTTGTTGAAGTTCTCGGGTCAGAATCTCTCAATTCCAACAAGAATCACCCAAGAAGCGGTTCATTCTCGAATTTGCTGTTGCAGGGTTTCTTGCTGTTTCGATTGCGCACTATGGACGTTGGAACGCACAGGGAGTTGAAGGCGGTGGACAATGCTGTTCTGCCTGGCGAGCATGGTTTTTGGCGCAGGTTGCAGGTGCTGCAGTCGCCGCTGTGGCTTTGCCAGCCCTCGCTCGCGATGTCACCAGAGCTTCATCTCACGGATAAGGTGGCGATCGCTAAGAATTATTTATTCTGTTAAGAATGGTTTAAAAACACATTTTCCTTTGAGCATACTTAAGCACGTTGGGGGTCAGCAGTCGTTCTGGATTATTGAAGGCGAGCCCAATCAAGCTCACTGAGTGAGTGCGAGTTGGGGCTGCCCCCTTAGGGGGTGATTGTGGTGGGTGTCGAAGAGTCGGGTGCGTGCCGCCGGGCGTGTGGTCGAGCGTGCCGTGGTGGCGTGTCGGGGCTGCTGGGGCTCTGCGCCCATTGGTGCAAACTCTAGACCGGAACTGCTCAAACTACACTACTGCCACGTTCGGCTGGGGACAAAACATGTACCGGTTGCCCGGTCCAAGAAAACCGCCCGCTTGAATGGCATACTAAACCTACTGGTGACCACGCGCGGCTTAGTGTGCGTGTGCATCTTGGTGTCCACGCGCGCCTTGGTGTCCGCGTGCGGCTCGCCGTCCACGGTCACCTCGTCCTTTTTCAACGGCTTTATCCTTCCATCGGAAAACATAATTTCCCTGCTACACTCGGAAATACACCTACTTACATTCAAGCACTATTTTATTATAAATTCTGCAGACCGTTCCCATTTCCACATCAAGGCCCGTGCTGTGCTGCAGAAGCAGAAGCTCTCCATCTTTTCGTACATCATCGCCCTGCCCTTCATCGGTGAGAGACCAGAACTATCGATTTCTTTTAAGTACATATGGAGCTAATATTTTGTCGTAGGGTAATTAATACCTTCGAGATGCGTCGACGGAGTAGCAGGCGATGATCTTGGCCACAATCGCCAAGATTCCCAAAAAAGAAGAACACGACGGTGTGTAGCAGTCGAGAAATACTCGATACCCGGGCATTATCACAGCGTTAACGTCTTGTTGTTGCATTTACTTGCATTTTCAGCTACACATGCTGTCGCTTGTCACGAGTATAACTCGTGCCCGCTCAATCGCAGACAAGAAGCCACTCAGAGCAATCCCAGCCCGACAAGAAACCAACTCGAGGCATCGCACACTCTACGCCTCGAAACTCATCTGCACAAGAATAACTACATCTTTAGCTACAACTAACCGTACCCAGCTCTAACTCAACGCTGCTTGCGCTTTCATAATGATCAGTCTTCATTTTTCCTGCTAGTGCACAAGTTCCTAGTCAAGACTCAAGCTTCTCTCCACAGAGTGCAAGACATCGCTAGTACCACCCGGTCAAGCAGACGAATGAAATGCGCGAGGTCATGAAGGAGGAGTTCATGATGGAGACTCCTGACCAGCAGGGTTTTATTACAAACCATGGATGATCGAGGCCAATCGTCATCATGGTCGCGTGCACTGTCGGGTGGCGGATCCTGGGAAACAAGACGTGCTTAGAACATCGCGTACGTGGAACTGTTCATTCGAGCCATTATTTTGTGGGATTTATGCTGACAGCGTAATTTAGGTGAGGCTGCTCGTTTTGCAAGACGACGTCGAGGGGTTGCTGATAAACTGGATGGCTTTTATGGCGGTGCTGGCGTGGGCATCATCCCGATCATCGTATTAGCTGCACGCTGTCAGTGGCCAAGGTGGTTGGTGCGAGACTGTTATTCTTCTGCGCGCATTGCCCGCAGAAGAAGCAGTCCTCGCACATTCAACCAAGAAGGTAGTACATGTGTTTGGTAACAGTACGGTGACTGCATGCTTACTACGCAATGTTCCATACAATTGACTTTATAGTGGTCTTGTCGAGGGCACAGGTTACTGTTCTTAAAAAAAAGTAATTCATGCGTGTATAGTATTATTTCGGAGTATTTTCTGTGAGTGTGCAGTTGGCCAGAGTATTTGGCATGCGCGTTAGAAGTAACCTATGGCGTGTTATTTACTCCGTAACGTTAGGATTAACAGCAAAACGGATACGGGTATGTTAGCTCCTGCTCGTTCAACAAAACGCTCACTAGATTGCCTTTTGTTGGTGTACTTTTTTCCCGCTTTTGTACCAGTAATTGTAAAGTACGGCTAGCTACCCTTCAACTCGCAGCGCATTTCTTTTTGTGAAGTTGTCATGCGAACTACCAAGCTATCCCAGCCTACGCAAAGCTCTAGTATATGATTTTTCTCAGTCCCCCGAAACATAGGTCTGTGAGAGCATATTCAGCGCCCCCCCCCCCCCAACTCGATCTGCGCTATGTTAGAAAAATAACATTTTTTTCACTAAGATTTGGCGAAGTGTTTCAAAATGATTATATTAATAGAAGTTAGTAAAACCGATTGGTTCTCGTTTACAAACATTTTGCTTGCGAATTCTAGGTTTGGCTTCGCCGATACAGACAGTGGGATACCTACTCGATTTGTTTTAAGTAGTAAGGTTAACATGTTCAAGGGTGCTATTAAGCATTTAAAAATAACAATATATATGATAATATATATTTCACAATGCATGTTGCTTTATTCAGTTTATGCTACATAAGAATGTATTGATTTTGATGATTATTTCGAAACTATTTATTATATATTAAATACCTTTGTAAACCAAAGTACCTACATTCACTATATATCATTTAGCAAGTTATATTTTAACTTTATGTTAAATTTAAAATGTAATTGTGGGTCGAAACAGTTTCAAAACAATTATATTTCAAAGAACATACTGTTTTGAAAACAATAATAACAAAGGGTTCGTAATACAGCTGAAGGTTTACTGGTACTTTATCCGACACGGTACACCCGCTAATTCCTGCCTCAATACACCTAAAATCGTGGATATGTCTGCGCACCTGCGGACGTAGCTACAAACTAAAGAATGGATCGGCCCCAGAATGCCTATATCTTCGTTTTAGTTGCAGGGCTCCACGTTAGTGCTACTTGTGTAATCTTGCCGGTATTGGCGCAAGATTCAGTCCAGGAGGGACCTACTGGGAAACCTTCAGCTCAGTCGCGAACCCCTTGTTAAACGATTAGGTAACGTTGAAAGTTAGTGAATAATGTGATTGAATGTTTTATGCCGTATTAAAGGTTTATACTAAATTGTGAATACTGATATTTTATTCTGTATTCTTAATGTTGTAGGTTTTAACAAGTTGACCTTCACCACAAATAAATGAAAACATAGTATATTTCCTTTACAGATTGGGTCCCCCCTTGAACCGAATAAAAGTCTATTGAAAAATAGATGATAGTCTTTGTTTTTAGGCTCGACCTTAACATTAATACGAGTGATTGGAATGTGTGAAACCAAGAATAAGAACAGTAGCGGCACAAGTACATGGTTTCAGGATTGAAAATTTCTGCGACGCTTTCCGTTGATGCCGCTGATAGACTGGAGAAGTTTATTTTCATTGGAAACTGCGAGGTCGCTGCTGGACGGTTTCCCGAAGTTAAGCAAGGGAAGGCAGCTTTTCCGGGATCCGGAAGCGAGACCAGTTAGGAGATATCACCAGCGCCCTCGGATTCTATTCCGTGCTTTGCACGAGAACTCGTAGCGTAAAGCAGTCAGTGTGTAAGTGACACACTGAGTTACTAAGTTACACAGTGTAACTTTCCACGCGTCTATATAATAGTAGCAGCTAACCTACCGCGCCACGCCATCCAGCTCACCTCAACATGACTCGACTGCGCCCCCATCGCTGAATGGTGTTCACGGAAATGCTTGCGAACAACAGCCAAATATGTATGGTCCGCAAATGGCTGGGAACAATACATGTACTGTGATAATACGCACCGCTGTTACATGTCTGCGTGTATGTTCCAGGTCCGTTGTGAATGCCTCCGCGCGCTTCGCTAGCATTGTGATGCGGAACACCATGGGTTAGCGGTGCTTCCACACTGAAATCCGCAGCGATCAGTGGGCGGACCACGCCTAGATTTGGTACGGTTTGCTGCCGCTAGTAAGCGTGCGGTGCAGAAAAGTGCATGAACCGTCTCAATGAAAGTCCTGGGGTGGTAAATCTCGGACCGACTTTATGTTTGAAGCTGTTATCATACATAAGACATGTACGGCAAAACGTATCAGTACTGGTGTACTGTACATTGATACCGCCCCCAAATTTGTTCAGTGGTCACTACAGTAACAGAGCACCACTGTCAGTGGTGTTTTAGCTGGAGGGTAGAGTAGAACATGCGTACGAGGAATCGTGTGTGTGTGTAAGTTAGTGAGCGTATCTGTATACCGGTAAAGGCGCATTGCGACAAGAGTATCATTGATATTATAATACTGTATCAACCGCAGGTAATCAAGTGTACAGCAGCAGCTGACAATCACGCGCCTTCCTAAAGACCATATCATAGGTATTTTCGCTGTCGTGGTGATGGCCGTGATCGACGGGGTGCGTCAGAGATCCGCTTTGGTGGCACATGATTTTTTGGTGTTGCAATGTAAACCAAGCCTTCGCGGCTGAAACGTGCAAGCTTAAAACGGAATGCATGGCATCTTGTCCGTGATTTCTTAGGTCAAGCTTTGCCAAATCTCGCTGTGTATTGTATCGGGGTTGTAAAGTGAGCTTTATCGAGACAAGGTCAAGGTGCGTGATTCTTGAACCTATTCGACTCGATACCATACGACAGCTCTAGTCGAGTGGTCGCATGGCCTCGATAAGTTACACGTACATGGCATGCAAGAACATTCATACATATACATGGTTTGCATGAAAAGTTTTTGTAGAAAAGCCTAGGTGCCAGACCTTGGCTACATACAGTGCTGTGGTAGATTTATACATAGACCTTCTGTCTTGAAACTTTCAAGTTGAAAGCCATGGATTGCTGGCGAGACTATCACCGATCGGTATGTCGTGCTCGTTTACTTTTAATAAAAAAAATACAGAACTGCAGGAGCCACCCATACAGAACTGCAGGAGCCGCCCAAAAAGAGCCCTTTGACATGTGGGGCGCTGGTTTTAATCTTGATGTATTTCCATCGCACAGACTCTGTACTACAACGCCTGCAACATGGGCCACAGAAGCCGTAACTTACGGACTTGTGTATCATAACGTAACGTCTACCGTAGCTACACGAGCACCCGAACACCGAACCCACTCTACTGAAGATACTTACCTGGTAGCAGTAGCTCCTATCGGGTCGCTGGGCTTTCCACTCACTTTGAAATTTCCTCCTTCCCAATCAAACCACCTCGGCGGACAATGCAGCTCCTGGCTCCTCTCATCGCTCTTCTCGGACTGGCTGCCGCTGTCGAAGCAGGGTGCGGCGGCCCCACCGCCCGTGTCACGCCCCCTCCTGGCTCCATCGTCGTCGATGCTACCGGAGCGCACAGGGGCAGCTTCCGCACCTTGTCGCAGGGTGTTGCCAAGCTCTCCGCCTCAACCACACCGCAGACGATCTTCGTGTACCCTGGTGTGTACAAGGAGCAAGTGGTCGTGCCGAAGCTCAACGGCCCGCTGATTCTTCAGGGCTACACGTGCAACACCATGGCGTACACTTCCAACCAGGTGACGATCACCCAAGCCAAGGCTCAGAAGGACATCCCCGCTTCGATCACCAAGAACCGCAACGACCTGACCGCCACGCTGCTGCTCAAGTCCGACAACGTCAAGGTGTACAACCTCAACGTCGCCAACACGGCCGGTAACGTCGGCCAGGCCATCGCCGTCAAGGCCGATGGGGCCAACATGGGCTTTTACGCGTGCAAGTTCCTGGGATACCAGGACACGCTGTACGCCAACAAGGGCCCGAACCTTTACGCCAAGTCGTACATCAGCGGCGCCGTCGACTTTGTTTTTGGCCAGTATGCCAAGGCGTGGTTCGAGTCGTGCGACATCGTGTCCATCGCCAAGGGCTGCATCACCGCTAATGGCCGTGACTCCGCTGCCAACCCGTCCGAGTACGTCTTCAACAACGCGCGCGTGACTGGCAATGGAGGCGTTGGAACGGCTTACCTGGGCCGCCCCTGGAAGCCCTACTCGCGTGTGATCTGGCAGAACAGCGACTTCAGCAACGTGATCAACCCGGAAGGCTGGCAGAAGTGGAACGGTGACAACAACGTTGCCAATATTCACTTCAAGGAGTTCAACAACCGTGGCGCGGGTGCTGCTGTCAATAAGCGTGTGGGTTTCAGTGGAAGGCTTGCGAAGCCTGTGCCTATCACGGATATCCTTGGCGCCAACTACAAGACCCAGTGGTGGGTTGACACCAGGTACTTGTAAAAAGCTGGCACGTTCTTCGGCTGCACCGCGTTGTAGCGGAAGAGAATTTAATTTTTTTCTTTAGACTCTCCATCGAGATTACATGTAGGTAGAACAAATCAACGGTAATCACTTCTTTTTGTGCATTTTATTCTTTTTTCAACTTATTATTTGGCCTCCATACATGTAGACTCGCAGCGGCAACATACGTCGCGAGTTTTGAAGGTACTTAAAAGTTGACCGCAACCAACGTGCCAGTTGAAATTTACTGTATTTAGCGTTTTTATCTCTTTAGTAATAGTACTTACTAATACTCGCTCTTACTCCCACTTTTCCAGACATGTACTCGAAATAAAACTTCACCAGCTTGCTAGAAAGTACTTTTGGCGAGTACTTGACTACCAGACAGGCGCTCACAGATCAGTGCTCAAATGTCCAAACCTACCAGCGGCTTGCGCTGTGGAAGGAAAGAGTACATGTAAATTCAAACTGATATTATAGCATTCGTTTGTTCTACTCACAAGTATCTCGCAGGAGATTCTGAAGATTCTACTACGCTATTCTACTAGAACAGAGCGTGGTGGAGCTGAAGAATTCCACCAACTTCTCTACAGGTACCTGGTGTCAACCCACCACTGGGTCTTGTAGTTCGCTCCGAGGATTTCCGTGATAGGCACATGCTTCGTCAGCCTTCCACTGAAACCCACACGCTTGGTCGTGATAGCGCCAGCGCCGCGGTTATTGTACTCCTTGAAGTAAACATTGGGAACGTTGTTGTCACCGTTCCACTTCTGCCAGCCCTCGGGGTTGATCACTTTGCTGAAGCCACTGTTCTGCCAGATCACACGCGAGTAGGGCTTCCAGGGGCGGCCCAGGTAGGCCGTTCCAGCACCACCAGTGCCAGACACACGCGCGTTGTTGAAGACGAATTCAGATGGGTTCGCAGGCGAGTCACGGCCGTTAGCAGCGATGCAGCCCTTGCCGACCGACACAATATCACACGACTCAAACCACGCCTTGGCATACTGGCCAAAAACAAAGTCGACGGCGCCGCTGATGTACGACTTGGCGTAAAGGTTCGGGCCCTTGTTGGCGTACAGCGTGTCCTGGTATCCCAGGAACTTGCACGCGTAAAAGCCCATGTTGGCCCCATCGGCCTTGGCGGCGATTGCCTGGCCGACGTTACCGGCCGTGTTGGCGACGTTGAGGTTGTACACCTTGACGTTATCGGACTTGAGGAGCAACATGGTGGTGAGATCATTACGGTTCTTGATGATCGACGCGGGAATGTCCTTCTGGGCCTTGGCTTGGGTGATCGTCACTTGGTTGGCAGCGTACGACATGGATGTGTGCCCTGCAAATGGTATGGAGTCGTGTGTCCAAAAAACAGCTTATTGTAAGGCCGAACGACGGCTGTTCAAACCGAACTCGATGTGATATGTAGAAATCCGCGACTGCAAAGTTCTCTTCTCACTGTAGTGTAAGTTATCGAAGTCACCTGTTTAAACAATACTACTGTAACATGCATGGACAGTAGCCGGCTCTGTCGCGCTTCCGAGAGGGACTTCATGCATTTTGTGCTGCATGCCGTCCACTTGCACACCGTGATCGTGTTTCAATAATAATAGTGCAGTGTTCTGCCAAAACATTGACGTGAAGATCTTCCGACTCAATACTGGCAAAGCAAATGGATCAAAAGGCTCATATTTTTTGTTGACTCCGAAAAAAAAACTCTTTCTAGATTGATAAAGAGCCTTGAGCTGCGCCGGCAAGCAGGACCAAACGACGGCAGCTCCATTAGCACAATGGCAGTATTAGGGCACGCAAAAATTCTGAACCGCCAAACATGGAGGTGTGAACAAACAGTACAGCAGGCGGTGGCATAGGGAGCGAGAATATTTGCAGTTACGGTTCTGTAACATTGTGTGATTGCTGTAACCTACAGCCTGTAAGAAAAGTGTAACCAAGTTTCGCGACTTAGCACAGAGGTATTAATATTATGAAGTCGATGGAAACTTTTTAAAAAGTTTAAAAAATAATTTTGTATCTGCAGTTCAATACTACGTAGTACCAATTTTAATTGCTCTTTAAAAACAGAACGGCGCCACCGTAATTGAGTGGTGGCTTGTTACCTTTTTTTAACGAATTTTACTGCGTAGGATTTACTACGGTGGCTCGATCTTTACCGGGTTACAATAGCTTAAGCGGACAGTGGAGCTAGTATCTAAGGATGCTCGAGGTAGGTTTAGAGGGGTTCGTGGATATACCTGGTGGGCTTGTCTGAGCGATAGCAGCACTAACGTTGTTTGCTATCCCAGTACAATCAGCAGTTTTATTTCTTATCAGAATAGTAATAGCGGGCGAAGGCGAATGGGTCGAATAGGATAAATGCCTGCTCCATATAAAATCCAGTGGGTGCTCCGTCAGGGTGCGATTCGGTGCAGCTCAAGGAGTTTGACGAAAAAGACACTCGTCTGCACCTAGACAACCTAGGCCTACCCAGCCATTTATTTTTATTTGAATTTTAAAGTAACCTGCCGTCAATCACCTTTTTGATGTCGACGTGACTCGAAAGAAAATAACGACGAGAGATTCCGAGCACTCATTCCAGAATCAGCCGCCTCGAAGCAACATGGTGAGTCTCAAGTGCGGGATTGTCGGCGTAGACAGAAGCGTTTTCTCCGTCGACATCGACCAGACACTTCAGTGGATGACTTGAAAGCCGTGATCAAGCAGAAGAACTCGGCGGCGGTCACATGTGACGCGAAAGACTTGTCGCTCTTCATCGCTAAGAAGGACGGTGTATGGCTGACGGAACGCGAGTTCAAGAGAGACGAGGTAGACACCAGTGGAATGACGCAGGTGGGGGATTCTGAGCCGAGTTTGGCTACCTTACCGGACGATGCAGACTTGCAAATTGAATTGACTGAGCAAGAAATGGCGGCTGGGAAGGGCCCCGTGCATTTGCTGGTGAGAGCACGTGACAGCTCGGAGAGAGAAGTTGCAGCAGCGACTACAGCGTTGTCAACGCAACAAACCAAGGTGGCCGTCGGCGACAAAAGACAGAGGACGGCACCTGGGCCTCCCACTTTGCTGGATGACTTGTACTCACTTACCAATTTCGTGCAGCTCCGGGGGAGCAAGAACTACCTGGTCGTAGATACCGTCTTAAAACTCCCGACGGTGGTCTGTGGCAAGGATTTCTCCAACAACTTGTACATCCGAAGCGAGTATTTGGAGCTCCACGAGATCATCAAGAGGAGATGAAGTCGGAACGTTCGCTCCGTAGTGGGCAGTCCTGGGATCGGCATGTCCGAGTTTGGCATCTACTTGCTGCTTGTGTTCGCTATGGAGAAGAAGGACATGGCCTATCGTCCACTGGGGAGGATGTCGCCCTGTTATTTGACCTGGAACAGCGCAAAACGCTACTACAATATTTCCGAGACGCCGCAACCTGGGAAGAAATACGAGGGGCTGTTTGAGGGCAACGAAGCCGGCGGAGCCTTAGATGCCGAGCATCTCCTCCATGCGTTCGTACTCTCCAGAGAACTACCAAAACTTTGTCAAGGAGTCGTGCTTCACGGTGTACATGAATCCGTGGACCAAAGACGAGTGCCAGAGCTTTGTCGATGGCATTGGTTTGAACGAAGACGAGTGGTTCCACAGATTCTACCTCGTTGGGGGCAAGCCGCGCCTCTTGTTTTCATCTTCTGAGGAGTTTGATGACCTGGTGCAGCGTGTGAAGGACGCGATTCCCGAGAATATCGACGGGCTAAAGGAGCAGGTTCGCCTCTTCCAGAGTCAAGTGTTCGACGGCCGGATGAAGCACGTACCTGTCCGTCGTTTCGTTGGGTCTCAGCACAATGGCGATAGGCTTCAGCTTGTCGCTGACTCCCATCGACCCGTTTGGCCCGTAGTTCTTGACGACGCGGAAGAATTCGTCCGGGTCCATGACGCGAGTCGCCAGCAGCTCACTGCGGCTGCGAATGCCCCGGTACGCGCACGTCTCTGGCTCTTTGACGTGGACTTCAGACTGCAGTCGAGGGCGAGCGCTCAAGCGATGGCCGGCGGCCTCGTCGCGGGTGCTGGGACGAACTGCGCGCCCTGGACTTGGAGCGCGCGGCGCGCATGGTCAAAATGGTAGAAGTGTAGCCATGTGTCATGAAAGTGGACCACATTGAATATATACTTGGTGTACTCAACATAAAATTCATTTCAACCAGCCAAAAGTCAGTGGTCATTCGGTGAAGTCGAAGGTCAATTGAGCTCTTCGTCTCTCTTCGCCGCGACGTCTGTAACCCACCATGCCGCGTAAAGGAGGCAAGCGCGTACGTATACTCTAGATTGCTAGGCGCCGGGACACGCAACCGCGCAAGAATCGTCCTCCAACTCGCTCTGTGAGCGGCAAAAATGGCATTAAACCCATTGCTCTAACCTTCGCGATTGCTTGTTGCTGTTGATTATTGCAGAGGAAGACCCGCACCCACGTGGTGGAGGCCCCCGGCGTGGAGAAGGATGACTCGCCCATGAGCTTCGTGTTCAAGATGGGCAAGGTGCCCGGCGTCGTGAGCACGCTGGTGCAGGACATGCGCCGCGTCATGGCGCCCTACACGGCCGACAAGCTACGCGAGAAGCGCAAGAACACGCTCAAGGACTTCGTGCACGTGGGCGCCCCCATGGGCGTCACGCACTTCATCTTCTTCACCAACACGGAGGCCGGCACCAACCTCAAGATCGCGCGCATCCCGCGCGGCCCGACGCTGTCGTTCAAGGTGACCAAGTACTCGCTCATGAAGCAGATGCACCTGGTGGTCAAGCGCCCCGTGGACGCGTCGGCTGCGCTCAAGTCCAAGCCGCTGGTCGTGCTCAACAACTTCACGGCGCCCGACGACCACATTAAGCTGATGAACGTGACGTTCCAGAACATGTTCCCGGCCATCGACGTGCAGACGGTGGCGCTGTCGGAGTGCAGGCGTGTGGTGCTGTTCAACTACGAGAAGGAGACGGATACGGTCGAGTTCCGCCAGTACGTGATCCGCGCTGCGCCGCTTGGTCTGTCGAAAAGTGTCAAGACCATCGTGAAGGCCAAGGTGCCCAACCTGAACAAGCTCGAGGATATCAGTGAGTACGTGCTGGGCAACGGCGCTGGCATTGGATCGGCTTCGGACAGTGAAGTGGACGACGAGGCGTCCCACGTGACGCTGCCCGACTCGTTCCGTGGACGTGGCAACCGCAAGGCTGAGAAGAGCGCTGTGCGGCTGACGGAGATCGGACCGCGTCTCACGCTGAGCCTTACCAAGGTGGAGCGCGGCATCTGCGAGGGCGACGTGCTGTACCACGCCTACAAGACCAAGACGCCGGAGGAGTCTGCCAAGGCTAAGGCGAAGCACGAAGCTGCGCTCGCCCTCAAGCGCCAGCGTCGTGAAGAACAGGAGGCCAACGTCGCGAAGAAGCAGGAGGCCAAGGATGCGAAGAAGCAGCGCAAGGCTGAGCGCAAGCGGAAGCGCGAGCAAGGCGAGGATGATGATGAGTACGACGAGACCACTGCCAAGACTGGTGGCAACGACGACGACTCGGAGCTGGACGACGTCGAGTACTACCGCCAAGAGGTTGGCGAGGAGCCGGACGCGTACATGTTCCCTGACAAGAAGAAGGAGCCCAAGCACAAGAAGCAGAAGAAATCCACGGAGATGAAGGCTCCTGTGCAGAAGCCGTCCGAGACTGCTGCGTCCGACAAGAAGAACCGATTCCTTCGGGCTGGTGGCAAGGCCCCCAAGGGCCAAGTCATCCGTCAGCGCCAACCCAAGAAGAAGTAGGCCACTTGAATCGAGCAGAACCTTATTCGTGGCAGCTACATGTGCGGTGTTCTGCCTCTCTAATAGATTTCATTCACTCTCGCATCCATCCTAAGGCCTTCATCATCAACTGCCGCGTCATGAGCACTTCAACTCGGACTTGTTTTTACAGTTCTCCATGTCACTCTTGTTTCTTTCAGGTTCGGTGCCTTGATACCATTTCTCAAACACACACGCTAAAACTAACTAGCCTACTTCAGCCTACTTGTCGAGCCCAAGAGCTCCAATACGCAAAAGATGAAGAAGAGGCGCTCGGCGCAGGCCAGCACTAGCGCTCGCTTCACCGTCTGCCAGGAGGCGGCTGCAGCGACGGATGCTGGTGCTGCTTCGGGTCGCCCATTGGGATCGGGAAACGATCGCGACGGCCAGCCTGCGGAACGCCGGCGGGACCGCCCAGGTTCTTGGGGTTCAGTCCAGCCAGACGTTGCGGTGGTGCCTGCATCTTGCGGTCGCCACCGTCCATTGCGTAGCGCATGCCGCCCACCTTGTTCTCTTCCTTGATCGGCCGTCCGGGCATTCCTCGGCGACCATCCTGCTGCATGTGCACGGCCTGCGCGTGTTGCTGTTGCTGCTGCGCCTGCATCTGGGCTTGCATCTGAGCGTGGTGGTGGGCCTGCGCGGCTTGTGCCTGAGCTTGAGCGTGGGCATGAGCCTGGGCTTGGGCGTGCGCCTGAGCCTGGGGGTGCTGCGACTGCATCTGCTGGGCCTGCTGCGGGTGCTGCATGCCTGGCACCATGCCTCCCATGACTCCGCGAGGCATCATGCCACCGCCATTCATTGCGGCGCTGCGACCCATGCCACGCATCATGTTCATACCGGCACTGCCCACAGGCATGCCACGCGCCATACCGCTGCTGGTTTCCGGGCCGCTGACACTCATCGAGTTCGACGTCGGGGCACCGCCCATGCTCATGCTCATGGGAGCTTCGCCACGAAGCATGTGAGCCATCGGAGCTCCCTGGCTTACAGGCGGAGCGCCGTTGGGCTGAGGAATGGCTCCTCCTTGTGCGGGGGCGCCCTGCTGCTGCTGTTGCTGTTGTTGTTGCTGCTGATGTTGCTGGTACTGGTTCTCAGCCGACGGACGCGACGAGAACGTCGGCATGGGCGACGTTGTGGGCGGCTCCGAAGGACCTGGTGCTGAGTTGGCACCAGCCATGCCGATGGTAGATTGGCCCGTTTCCCGAACACGCAGGAGCTCCAATCGCTCCCGAATAAATCCAGCGTCCGCGCCGAGCTCAGCAGCCTTCTGGTAGGCGTCACGAGCGTCGCTCGTCTGGTTGCAGGTATCATACAGCGTGCCGACGTTGTACCAGACTTCACAAATGTTGGGGTTGATGTTGATAGCGCGCGAGTACGCGTCCAAAGCATCCAGGTGTTGGTTGAGCTGGTAGAAAAGCACTCCGAGCGAGCACCACACATTGGGATTCTGCGAGTCCGTGGTCACGGCGTGCTTGTACGAGTCGTAGGCCTCCTCGAACTCCTGCACGGCCATGTAGCAACGGCCCAGCAGGTACCATCCCTTGCCGTCCTGCGGGTCGATCGTCACGGCCTTCTTGAGGTAATCGATAGCGGGCGGGTGCTCGCTGTGCTTGAGGCAGAGCCATCCGAGCTGCTGCAGAGGCTTAGCGTTGTTGGGGTTGAGCTCGGCCACCTTGAGGTAGCTCGACTTGGCGAGCTGAATCTCGTCCTTGAGCTCGTACACGTGTCCGATCTGCGTCCAAATATCACTGGCCATCTCAGTGGTCTGCACGTTGGCCTGCACGTCGTGCAGCACCGACTTGAGGCGCTCGAGCGCGCCCTCGTAGTCGCCGCGCTGCTTGGCGATGATTCCGAGGCGGAACTTGACCTCCAGGGCCATGTTAAAGTTGGGCTCGAAGCGCAGCACGGCCTCGAACGACTCCTGCGCGTGCTCGAGCGAGCCGAGGCGTTCGTAGAGCTGGCCGATGCCGTACCACATGTTGGGGTCCTTCTGGCTCATCGGGTTGTTGTACATGGCGTACTGGTAGGCCGTGTGCGCGCTCGTGAGGTCGTTCATCATGAGGCAGCAGTAGCCGAGGTGGCCCCAGGCGTCCGAGTTCTGCTCGTTGAGCGACACGAGGCCGCGGAAGCAGTCGGCGGCCTTGGTGTAGTCCTCCACCTTCTCGTAGCAGCAGCCGATGGCGAACAGCGCCGTCGCGTTCAGGCGGTTGTGGGACAGCACCTTCTCGTAGGCGAGCATCGTGTTCTCGTCGTCCCCCATCATCTCGGCGATGCGGCCCAGGGACAGCCACGCCTCCTCGTTCGCGGCCGAGAGCTGGCGGCCGAGCTGCAGTACGGACATCCATAACAAGTTAGCAACTAAACATACCACCATCACTCTCTCTCGGTGCGGAAATACATTCACTCTCGCGCCGATTTACACCACGCTACGGGGCTGCGGGACGCACCGTGTTGTTCTCCTCCATCTTGGGGGTCGCCATGGGGTCTGGCTGTATCAGTCAGTCAATCAGTACGTGGGGCCGGGGAGTGGGCGGGCCGCGTGCTGAGGATTTGAGAGAGTGCCGCGCTCTTCTCTTCGTTCTGCCTTCCCTCCTCGACTTGCGCGCGAGCCGTCTGTTTGTCTAATGGCGCTGATTTGATGGTGGGGGGCCTGGGAGAGGCCCCCCTCTGAGGAGCGTTCGCCCCCTTTCGCTCCGGAGCAGCCCTAACCGCGAAAATGACAGAAGGTGGTACTATCGTTGACGCCGGTTGAAACACTCTTCGTTTCAGTATTTGCAGGAAATGCGCACTTGTGAAGATCGGAAATTCGCTTTGGCCAAGATTCAACCCGAGCGTCAGCGCTCAGAAGACCCAGCGGACTGCTGTAACGACTACAGACAGATGATGTCATAGCACGATCGCACTGTTCATCGACGCTAAATCACCAGCGTGGCGTTGTGGATATCTTTGGGTTGTACTGCACTAAGCAAACGTCGAAGGGGGGAATGGCATGCTAAGCTCAAAGTTTGGCGGGATCTAACGCGTTCACAACCAACAGGAGCTCCTGGTAGATTGTGCTGGTCTGTAGTGCCGGCAAAAACTCCTCAAGCGACTCATATACAACTGTAAGCCGTGGCCGCCCAACTTTTGGTGTTTGCAATTCCTATGTGATAGTACCAACGCCATGTCAAAAGCGGGGTTGCAGAACCAGTCCGTTACGTGCTGTAACCGAGCGTGACGAGCGTGACGGACGGACACCCATGCGGGCCAATCACGCGCGTCGCGACGCTCTCGACGAGTCGTCTGGGCGCATCTGTCGCAGCGGGCTGCACCGGATCAGCGAGTGAGCGGCGGCGGACGGTTTCCGTCAAGTGGCGCCCTGCTAGCTTAGTCCGTCGCGCAGTGAATCCGTGCCCCGTTCGGTGCAGTACCGGCAGCCCGCGCGAACCATTTTGGCTGCATCTTTCGAAGGCGTAGAGATGCCGTGCGTGCGTGGAAGCTCCAGCGCTCTGAACCCACGCTGCCATACAATCGGCAGCTGGGCTCAACGGGCTAATCCGCCCTTGTGCGAGGGTGGCGGGGGTGACCAATACGCCTGCGACGCCGCCATTTAGTCGTGCCCCAGCGCCGCCTGGTCGGCACGCAGCGTTAACTCGGATTGCACGGCGAAGGGCGCCGTCGGCATCACGGCAGATCACCTTTCGCGCTGGGCGGTCATTCACCACGTGGCGTGCAAGCACGCGCGCGGGCCGTGGTGTGGCGGTACACAACTGAACTCCGGAGTGATTGTCGCCAAGTTGAAGATGCCCGGGGGTTAATCGAGCGCCGCCGGCTCAGCCCGCAAAGTTCAGCGCCGTCGGAACTCACCGCGCCTCTGTGTGTGGACGTCAAGATGGGAGGCAAGCTGCCGCCGCCACCACGCTGCCTTGCAACGGGGTGATGAATCACAAAAATCACCTCCCGGCTGTGGAGAGTCTCCACTGGAGACCGACCGCCCATCCAGGTGTCCTCACTCTACCTGGAGCGTGTAGACTCAACCACTTCGCATTCCAGTATCAAACCTGCTAGCACGTGTGGAGCCAGCGTGTCGTGTACATTGCTGTATTGCAGCCCGCCACGATGCGGTGCTTGCTGCCCAGCAGTGCTGGGCCAGCACTGTTGATTCAGCACTGTTGCTCTCAACAAAAAGTCGATCGGAATTAAGAGTCACTTGAGCCCTGTCTAAAGCGATCGTGCTAGCTCATTTGACAACTTGACTTCGGACGAGCATGTGGCGAGTGCGAGTTGGCGGCGGCAGCGTCTTGGCGTCGCTGAGGCCTCGCACGTCTGCAGGGCGCGCCGCTGCAGCCAGGTTTCCTGCGGTGAGAGGCGAATACAGACAATGGCGGTGGTCGCAGCAGCAGAGCGCTGGGGTCTGGCAGCAGCTGGCCAACTTCAGCTCGGAGCCATCGGGTCGCAGCCCCCGTCAGGAGGAGCCGCCGGCGCTGCGCTCCAGCCAGGGCGACGAGGCCATGAAGATCACGCGCGTGGGGATGTATGTGAACGTGGCGATGGCTGCCACCAAGGTGCGTGGGCGAGAAAACTGTAGATTCGGCAGATTCGGCTGAAGAACTGCCGAGAATTTCACTGACTTGGCTTGGTGTCTGCTACTTGCTTACGATGGCAATCACAACAGGGCGCGGTCGGCGTGGCGATTCATTCCAGTGCTCTGGTTGCCGACGCAGCGCACTCGCTGTCGGACTTGCTGTCCGATGTGGTGACGCTCTGGAGCGTCAAGGTGGCGCGGCTTCCGCCTGATCCGAAGCACCCCTACGGTAGGCTCGACTGTGCTGTGGTGTTGTACGTATTTGATATGGTCAGTGCGGAGCATGATAAATGATGCTCTTGTTTTGGACGGGTATGGCTAGGATACGGCAAGTATGAGGCGGTCGGGTCGCTGTCGGTTGGAGCCATTCTGGTGCTCTGCGGTATTGGGATCGGCGCGGACGGACTCCAGGTCATGCAGGAGATTTGGAACGGTGCTGCAGCCACGCAGCTACCAGAGTTCGACTTGCCGTTCCTTTCAGGTGGGTTTCACTTGAAATAAGCAAAGCATGTTCAGGAAGGAACGAACATGTCTGACTTATGTATTTTCAACGTTGCGACAGAGCTTGATCGCGGCACGCAGTGGGCACTTGCAGCGGGAGCTGCTGGTGTGTCGATTGCGGCGAAGGAGGCATTGTACCATGCAACGGTAAAGATTGGCAAGCAGGCGAACAGCAAGGTCTTGATCGCGAACGCATGGCACCACCGCACCGACGCGATTTCTTCCGTCGTGGCACTGGGTGGCATTGTGGGATCGATGTTTGGGGTGCCTCTCCTGGATCCAGGTACGCAGTGCATTCGCCGACAGTGAGCTATAGCGTTGTAATAGTTGCTGAAGAGAATTGTTGTGTATTTTGAGTAGTTGCTGGTATGGCAGTTGCTGCCATGATCGTGAAGACTGGTGGCGAAATTTGCCTAGACAGGTGCGCCCTGTTCGGATGGGTGGTTTCAATGAAGGACAATATGCTAATTGGTGCAACATGTACAGCGTGCAAGAGCTAACGGACAATACGGTCGAGGCAGAAGTTCTTGAAACACTGAAAGAAGTGGTGAGTATTAGCTGAAGAGTGAGTATAGCTGGTGCGTGGTCTGCTTACACTAAGGAAATCGTTGATATTTGCAGTCTGGCAGTGTTGACGACGTACTAAACGTATCTCAAGTTCGCGCTCGCCGAATGGGCCCGTATACACTGGTGGACTTGCGTGTTCATGTACGTAGGATATGCTCAGGTACTCGCATTGTGGCGCGTATGTACTTGGATTTGATAATTGTGCGCTTGCTGGTTCCTCGTTCTTCTAGCTGGATGCTCGGACAAGTATTTCAATGGCGCAACAGGTAAACGTGTTGTTAATGCACCTGGAATGGCATCAAGCGCTCATGCTAACGCTGATTTAGATCGCAGAGCGTGTGCGATCCCACATTTTGCAGGAAGTTCCCGACGTATCCGAGGTGCTGGTTCACATCGACGTTCAATTTGGTACGAAAGCCCGACGTAACTACGCGTATCCACCATCGTTGACCCCTAACACCCTGTTAAAACGCAATGCAGAGCAATTCGGGTTTGCTGCTACAGCAGCAACTGAAGCTTGCAAGAAGGATTTCCGTCCATACAGGGAGATCAAGAACGACATCAGCTACGCGCTAGCCACCATCCCGGAGATCACTGGGACAACGCACATCAACACGCATTGGCTCCCACACTTGACCGGCCAGGGAACTGCTGTCGACGTCACGATCGTCGTGCAGCCAGACCTGAAGGTTGGTGCAGCCCACGCTGTCGCAAAGAAGGCCAGGAAGTACGTAGGCCTCCGTCGCTTGCGCCTGCTCTTATGTAGCTCACGTCTGCTCACTTCGTCTCGCTGTGTCGTCCCACCAGAGCTATCGAAGCCATTCCGTACATTGTCGAGGCCGACATCCACCTGGAGCTGCAGGACGACGACTCAGACCCGATCCACGCAGCGTAAATGTTGCCTTTTTCCTGCGACGTGTGCAACCCTCGATTTAGTACGCCGCATAGTGAAACCAAGTATAATGTTTGTCCATTCACCATTTCGTGTGGACCACATCGGAGATGTTTAACGTCAGCGTCACCCTTCCTCGCATCACACACATCCGTTGTGACCCTGTCGGAAGCAAGTCAAAACAATGGCGGACCGTGGCATCCTCATGGACTTCCTGCTGGCCAGCGTGGCCACCAGCGGCGCGTGCGTGGTGTCCAACCCCATGGAGGTCATCAAGACGCGCATGCAGCTGCAGGGCGAGCTGGCGCACAACGTGACGCGCGGAGTGGCGCCCGTGGTGCAGTACCGCAACTTCGCGCACGCCTTCTACACCATCGGACGCACGGAGGGCCTGCGCGGCATCCAGCGCGGACTCGGCCCCGGTATTTCCTACCAGATCTTCATGAACGGCCCGCGCCTGGGGCTGTTCGAGCCGCTGCAGAAGGTCTTCGGCGCCACGGACCCCACTGCGTACTCGTTCCCGCTGCGCAACGTGTGCGCCGCCGCCACCTCTGGCATGATCGGAGCCTTCATCGGCAGCCCCTTCTTCCTGGTCAAGGCGCGCATCCAGGCCGCCAGCTCGGCGGGCAAGATCAATGCGCAGTACGCGTACAACGGCATGATGGACGGCTTCCGGCAGATTATCAAGGCGGACGGACTGCGAGGGCTGTACCGTGGAGCGACGGCGTCGATCCCCCGTGTTGCGGTACGTTTGGCGATACTTATAATGAGGTGAAGAGATTAGGGTGCTGATGTAGTGTTGTGTGTGTTTTGTTGGTGTAGATTGGTTCGGGCACGCAGTTGGCGACGTACACACAGGCCAAGACGCTCGTGATTGCCGCGGGCTTTGAGGACGGTGTGCAGGTTCACTTGGGCTGTGAGTTGATACGCTGTCTGAGTGTGGGTTAATTGTTTAGATGAAGCGGCTGATGATTTATGTGTGGTCTGATGCTGCAGCGAGCATCTTGACGGGTGTGGTGGTGACGACGGCGATGAACCCGATGGACGTGGTGTCGACGCGGATTTACAGCCAGAAGGTGGTGAACGGCAAGGGCAAGCTGTACTCGGGTGTGGTGGACTGCATCATGAAGACCATGAAGAGCGAGGGCCTCCGCGGCTTTTACAAGGGCTGGACGGCGCACTACATGCGGCTAGGCCCGCACACCATATTCACCTTCCTCTTCTGGGAGGAGGCCAAGAAGATCGCGGCCGAACTCGGATACTAATGTGCCCACTCGACAAAGCCACAGTAGATAGACAAGACTTATGCCCATAAATTCATCAAGTTGCGGGTTTCTTCGGAGGTGTTCATTGTCTGAGAGGAGGACTCGTAGTGAATTGTTGACAAGACAACTTAAACGGCAACCGTGAACAACATCTCACTCGCATCTTTATTGAGTCAGCGGATCCCTCCACAGATGGCCACTGCTAACTAACTGGGGCATCTACCGCAGCCAAAGCCTTGTGGGACTCTGGTGTCCGCCTTCACGTCTAGTAGCGGTAGAGCTTGGCCGATCGGGTCTGCTCGAGGTCGATCTTGTGGCCGAACAGGTCGCGGATGTTGTTGAGGCGGTACTTAATCATCGTGGGGCGCTCCAGCGACAGACCCCAGGCGATGACACGCACGTTCTCAGGCAGGCCCATGGGACGCAGCATCTCCGGGCGGAACACACCCGAGTTACCGATCTCAGTCCACTTCTTCAGGTCGGGGTGGAACGCGAAGATCTCCATGCTGGGCTCCGTGTACGGGTTGTACGCCGGCTTGAAGCGCATCTGCGTGATGCCGATCTTGAGGAAGAAGGCCTTGATAATACCGATGAGGTCACCCAGCGACAGGTCGTAGTCGGCCACCACGCCCTCCACCTGGTGGAACTCGGCCAAGTGGGTCGCGTCCATGCTCTCGTTACGGAACACGCGGTCAATGGAGAAGTACTTCTGCGGCGTGAAGCCACCCGGCTGGTTGGCCAGCTTGTACAGCATCTGAGCCGAGATAGCCGTGGTGTGCGTACGCAGGATGTTCGTCATGGACGTCTCGCGCTTGAAGGCACCGCGGCCGTGACTGTGTTCATACAAAAAGAGCAGTATTGTAAGTCCTACCATTTCGGGTTATCAAGACTAACACACGCAAATGTAGGCGTACCCAATGGAGCCGAAGCCACCGTTCTCGTGCATGTCGTGAACGCGCTTGTAGTAGTCCTCCGGCACCGTCAGGCAGTGCTTGGGCTCTGTCACCAGAAATAAAAGGGTACAGCGTCAGCAATTCGTTCGTAAACCACCGGTTATGGATTAACAAAAACTCACGGGTGAGGAAGAACGTGTCGTGGGCGTCACGAGCAGGGTGCGACTGCGGCTGGAACAGCGAGTCGAAGTTCCAGAAGCTGCTCTCCACGTAGCGGTTCGTCGGCATCTCCTGGAATCTACAGACGCAAACGGAAACAATTCATCAGCCATCCTTCCTTCACTCGCACTCATCCACAACTCACCCCATGTCCATCAGCACGCGACGGAACTCGGCGCGCACCTTCATGAGCGGGTGCAGGTGGCCGCCGCCGACGCTCAGACCCATGGTCTTGAAGTTGTAGGGCTTGAACGTCTCCTTCTTCCACGCCTCTCTGCGCAATGCAACAGCATCTTCAGTCAGTGTCCTTCCTCTCCCTCCTCCTCCTCCTCCTTCTCCACATTTTCTCTCTTCTCACCCCTCCAGCATCTCCTTGGTCAGACCCGCGGCCTGCTTCTTGCGCTGCAGGGCGAAGTTGACGCCCTTGGTCAGCGCGTACGACTTGCGCGTGCGCACCTCGGCCAGCTTGCGGCGCTTGAGCGTGTTGGCCTCGTCCTTGGACACGGCCGAGAGCGCGCCGTCCGCCTGCTCCACGCGCTTGAGCATCTCCGTGACCTCGTCCTGCACGTCCTCCACGTTGCGGTAGAACTTGCCGTCCGCCTTGTCCAGGCGGATCCACTTGTTCTTCATGCACGCGCCCTGGCCCACCTTGAGCGTGGCGGCGCCCACGGCGGCCTCCAGCGCCTTGCGGTCGATGCCGTCGGCGGCGGGGATGGCGTGGAACACCTGGATCTCGGGCGAGCCGCGCTCGAGGAACTGGCGCGCCTCGTCCTTGAGCACGTAGAAGGACGTGGAGCGCTCGGCGTCCGCCACGAACGCGTCCACCAGCAGCGACTTCATGACGCCCACGACGAGCTCGTGCGATAGGCCGTTGGCCAGCGCGAACTCGTACGTGTCGCCCACGGAGCCGTCCGCGCCGATGGCCGCCAGCAGCAGCGCCTCGGCGCGCGTCTTGTCCGCTTCAGCAGCGCTCATGGCAGGAAAGTAAGAGGGTACTTATCTACACTGTTGGGGCTCCTTCCCTTCGCTCGTTGGTCAATGGAGACCGATCGCTTTGGCTCAGGTGACGTCCATCGCACTTAATCGAGATGCGTCTGCGACATGTGAGCACTCCCACTAAGTACGATACGCATTGACCTCGGTTTAATGACGTCACTCTTTTGATTTTTCTATCAATCCATCGCCAGTCAAGTGCGCACTCGGTTGGCGTCCACTCGGTGACTTGCGCTCTCTGCGATGGACTCTCGGCGGCAGGGCGGGCGCCACTACGGCGGCAACAATGGGCGCCGGTTCCGTCGAGGCGGTGGCGGACGCGGCGGCGGCTCGGGCCCCGTCTGGTTCAAGGGCGAGGGCTACAACGACCACGAGAGCGTGTGCATCGCCGAGGAGGTGGCGGGCATCTCGGGCTTCCTGGACGCGTCGCGCGCCGGCTTCCCGGGCGTCGTCAAGCAGCGCTTCGCCGACTTCGTGGTGCACGAGCTGGCGCCTCGCTCGCGCCAGCCCGTGGCGCTGCAGCGCGTGGCCAAGAAGGGCAAGAACCTGCAGCTGGTGTTCCAGCAGCGCGTGCTGGACTTCGCGCTGGGCGTCGTGGCGCCGCGCGAGGAGCTCAAGAAGCTGGAGCAGCAGCTCGGCAAGGAGCAGGGCAAGGAGCAGCTGCTGGGCGTCGTGCGCGCGCTCTCGCGCAAGCTGCAGCGCACGTCGCTCCAGCAGCAGAAGCTGGGCCAGGCGGCCCAGGAGGCGTATCATCTCAAGCAGCTGGTGGTGCTGGTGACGCGCGAGATCGGCGCCAAGAAGGGCAAGGAGTTCGAGCAGTTCCTGGAGAAGGTGGAGCAGGCGCGCGTCGAGTTCGACGCCAAGAGGAAGGAGCTGGGCGACGAGGCAGGCACCAGCGCGGCGCTGGCGGCGGCCGAGGGACTGACGTTCTACCTCGGAGGGCTCAATGAGAAGGGCGACCGAGTGTTCATCCACGAGACCATGAGGCGCTACGGCAAGACGAGGATCGTGGCGGACACGCTCAACATTGGGAGCGACACGGCCGTGATCCGCGTCAGGCCGCAGTTCGCGGTCAAGCTGCTGCCTGGAGAGAGGGACAGCAGGAGAGACTGGCCCGTTGGACAGCGTAAGTGCGGTAATTGGTGGCTAGGCTTAGTTGTGGTTTGTGAGGTGGTCTGATGAGAATTTTTTTATTTTGATAGCCGACTACCTGCAGTTCACATTGTACAAGCGAAACAAGGAGACGTCGGCGGTGATTAATCAGTTGGCGTCCATGCTCAAGATCTCTCCAGCTCTGTTCTCCTACGCTGACGTCAAGGATAAGCGTGGAATCACCACGCAGCTTTGCACGGTGTACCGTGTGCCCAAGGATCGCGCGCAAGTGGTGTTCCGGCCAGGAGGCACCAAGAAACTGGAAGACCAGCAGTACCTTGTCGGCGACTTGCGCTACGTGTCGCGGAAGCTGGAGCTGGGTGACTGCGCAGGCAACCGTATTGCCATGGTGGTGCGGTCGCTGCCTGAAAATGAAAAGGAGCTGTCGGAGGAGGACGTACGCAAGGCTGTCCACAGCTGGGAGACACGTGGGTTCATTAACTTTTTCGGGCTGCAACGCTTTGGCAATGCGAGCACGTCGTACCACTTGCTTGGCCGAGCGATGCTCCGCAAGGACTACAAGCTGGCTGTGTTGCTGTTGCTGCGTCCCCAGGATGGAGAGGCCAGCAAGATTCGTGCTGCGAGAGAACACTTTAGAAAACACAAGGACGTTGCCGCTGCACTACGAATGCTTCCACCTTTCCTGGTGCCAGAGCGTGCAGTGCTCGAGGGGCTTCAGCAGCACGGCATTGATGCGCACGAGCTGGCGTATAACAATATCCCGAAACCACTGCGCATAGCGTTTGTGGAAGCGTACCAGGACTTCGTGTGGAACGAGATGGCGAGCATGCGAGTGGCGAAGTTCTCGTCAACGGCCGCTGTTGTGGGTGACCTGGTGCTCGTCGAGAGCGACGGCTCCAAGGTGGTCAGGAAACCGAATGACTCCGGCGAGCCATCTAGGAAACGTCAGAGAACCGGAAAGAGCACGAGGAGGAAGCCGATTCAGGAAGTTATGGAACTCACAGAAGCTATCGTGGACCAGTACTCGATTGAGGACGTGGTGTTGCCACTACCAGGTCACGCGATCAAGTACCCGACCAACGAAGTAGGAGCCGCCTACCGAAAAATGCTGACGACGGATGGCATCGACCTCAACGCCCACTTCGGACCGGACGGCAGCCAGACCTACCAACTGGATGGATCATACCGCCACTTGGTTAAAAAGCCGACACGCGTGTCATTCCGGTTGAAGCGTTACGAGGACCCGACGAAGCCGTTGATTCCGAACGATGTGGACGCGTTGCTAGCGAACTCTCCTGTGTCAGCTGCCGCTGAAGATGCCGTGGAGTCTCCGTCTAAACCAGCCGAGAAAGGATCGCACCGCGCGCTTGTACTTGAGTTCGATCTGGACTACGGCTCCGACGCGACCATCGCTACCCGCGAGCTGATGAAGCAGAGCAGCAGCGCAAATGTGAACTGGCAGACTTCGAACTCAGAGGCAGCCAGCAACGATGCGTCGAAGAATGCGGACGGATCCTCATCTGCAAATGCTGCTTCAAGGCCAGGTGCTTCCAGCGTGCAGGCAAACAAGTCCAATCGTGGTGACACTCGCAAGGTCATCACCGCTCAGAAGAAAACGCAAGTGGCGATCGGCCGTCCAGGTTTCAGTCTGGGAAGATCGTAAAAGCTCACGGAGTCGGGTATCTCAATGACAGTCGTGTCTAAACGATAGAACTCCAGTGTTAGATTTTGAAGATAGGGCGTTTTCAACGCACATGCAACTGAATTGGAAACAATAGAATAACACGCGAGAAATGAACATGCCACCCGCCAACAAATAGGCTTAGTTCTGCGTTCGCCCTTGATGGCAGCAATGCACGGTAGTGTAGGATGGCGTAGTTTCATAGCTTAGACAGAAACATCAATTGTATTGACATGTGAACACTTCACGTTTACTACGGACTAGGCCAGCGATGAGGCTGAAAAGTTGGGGATCGGGGATCTCTGTAGTCCCCGATGTCCACGCTACCCAAGTGATACCGCGCAATCTCAGCTTGAGAAGGCCAAGGCTGGGGCTCGAAATACCGGGGATCTCTGTAGTCTCCATCGTCGTAACTGGGCAAGCGATATCGTCCACGAAACCGTTCAGGCTCCTCTTGCTCTCGATCAATGCCCAAATACGTATACGACCACGAGTTCGCACTCGCTGGAGGTGAGCTCGTCTGGAGGTCAAGCGGCCGGACGTTGCCACGACCCGAAGCAATCAGCGAGGCTGTACGATGCGCTGCAGACACACGCGCGATTTCATCCTCCAACTCAGACAGGCTAAAGTGCCGGGGTGACTCGTCACCATCTTCCTCTTCCAACTGAGACGGCTCAAAGGGGATTGCTTCGGACATCTCTCGCCCATTCGCTTCCACGGGACTGAGGATGTCGATCGGTTGCCTGCATGCTGGACACGTGCTTTTCGTCTCGAGCCATCGAAAGAGGCACACGGTGCAAAAGGTGTGGCGGCAAGCCGTCGTGAAGGGGTCAGTCAGGTCTTCGCAGCAGATTGGACACTCATCTTGGTCGTCGTCTTCGTCGCGTGAGTCATTTGTTGAGCTCGTAGAAGTGTCGATAGTCAATCGAGGACGGTCTTGAATCGACGCAGTTGGGTCTGACTCATGAGAGTCTACACGCGCGCAGGTTTTGCTACATCTTGAGTCCTCGGTCGAGCATTGGGCCAATGCGCTTTCGTGGAGGTACCGAACAACATCGAGGTGCCCATTTCCAGCAGCAGCGACAATGGCGGCACTTGTAGCTTGTACGCGGAGGTGCTCGCGGAGATACCGGACAACGTCCAGGTGCCCATTTGACGCTGCAACAGTCATCGCGTCTTCGCCCATCGCCTCGCCTTCACAATTTGCAGACATCCATTTGACCCGGTCGAGCTTGCCTTGAGACGCGTAGAAGGTCTTCATCGTCCTGCAGATCCCCTCGGGGTTGTGCATCAGGTCGTGCCAGTCAGAGGGGTCACAAGCTCCAAGCGCACGCTCGGCTTCGGAGAACTGGGTGACCATTTTGACCTGGTCCGTACTCGATGTAATTCGAGTATAGTTGCGGGTGGGCCCGCAAACTGTGAAGTGGTGGCGGTGGGTGGGAGCGTGCTGTAGGAACCGCTTCTCCACCTACTGGGAGTTGTCTCGTACCACCCCAGGGAGTGAACTACGTCAACTTGGTCTTATGTCCTTCGAAACCAACGAGTTGAGGATAAGATCACGAATACGAACACCATCATTCTCCTACGTAAATACTGGTGCATTGGGGGTAAGCAGGTGACACAATATTGCAGTAGCTCAGGTAGTGCAAGGCAACGCGTGCGAGCCACAGCGAGCTTGTTATCTCTAGCATTGTCTTCAACAACGGTAGAATAGTTGATGATATTTTTCTTTCAATGTTCTGGTTGTTACTATACTACAGATCGTCAAGGTCGGCCAGTAGCTGGGCCTCTATCTCTTCTCGCATCCTCTTCTCAACATCAGCTCGAATTTCAGCTCGAATCTTCGCTCTCATCTCCTCCAGTTTCGTTTGGAAACTTGCTTCAACTTCAGCGCGGATCGTGGCCTGCTTTTCCTCGCGGATGCTGGCCTCCACTTCGGCTCGAAGCCGTGCTTCGATGTCAACGTCGCCAGCTTGGCTGCCTTGTGTAGTACCGCTAGTGCAAGCAACTACCGGAGAATTGGCGCTTTCTACCTGGGGTTCCGGAATCTGTTCACCATGTTGATCACCCACGTCGCCCTGGTAGGCTAGTCGACAGTCTTCATGTTGCATCAAGAACTCAACTACTTTGTGGTGCTTGAATTTCTTTGCTTGAAGTACCGCTTTTGCTGAGCAAGTTTCGGATCGGTGTTCGTCTAAGTACTGAACGGCAGCTAGATGACCGTGCTCCGCAGCTGCAGCAATGGCTGCATTCGAAGCGGGTTGGCTGAGATTGGTGTGCAGATACTTTACGACGTTCAAATGCCCGTTCGCTGCAGCATTCATCATAGCAGCAGTGCTGCACCCTTCCGAGCGATTCGTGTGCAGCCACTTGACTGCATCAAGGGATCCCTGGCCAGCAGCGCCATCCATGGCGGCAGTAGTGCACCCTTCGCTGCGCTTTTCGTGCAACCACTGGACAACAGATGCGTGGCCATTAACCACCGCTCGATCCATTGCAGCGGTGGTGCATCCTTCGTTGCGATTTTCGTGCAACCACTTGACAATGTCCAGGTGACCATGGCTTGCAGCTGCATCCATGGTAGTCTTCCTGAACCCTTTAGTCACATTCGTGTGCAGCCATTTGATCATCTCAAGACGTCCATTAGCTGCTGCTCCATCAACGGCAGCAGTGGTAATGCCCACGCGTCTGTACTGCTGAAGCCATCGGACGATGCTAATATGACCGTTCTTCGCAGCACCGTCGAACGCCGCAGTCGTGCAGCCCTCCGACCGGTTCCTATGAAGCCAATTGAGCACCATCTCGTGGCCATTCGCCGCCGCTCCATCCATTGCTGCCGTGGTGCAGCCTTCTCGTCGAGTTTGGGAGAACCATTGTACCATGTTGAGGTGCCCGTTGCTGGCGGCATTATCCATTGCTGCAGTCGTGCACCCTTCGTTGCGATTCCCGTGCAACCAGGTGACTACTTCGAAATGGCCGTTGCTAGCCGCGCCGTCCATGGCAGCACTTGTACAGCCTTCATAGCGATGTTCATGCAGCCATTTCACAACGTCCAGATGCCCATTCGTCCCGGCAGCGTCCAGTGCACTCGTCGTCGCAATTCTTGTGCATCCAGATGACAAACTGCAGCTTTCGACGACCGCAGTAGTAGTCGATCATCTTGGAGCAGAAGCCGCTGCAGCCATGCTTCTCTTCATGCCAAACCGCAGCGGCCACCTCGCCGTATTCCTGCTCCTCTTCGGCTGTCAGGGCTGGCATGGCTGGAGCCGCTTGTAACAGTGAACAGTCCTCATATGAACACCTTTTACGGGCTAGTCCCTGACATCTTATGACTACCCTGAGGTAACGTGCTGAATACCGAGATAAGTTTCGAGAACCGTTTTGATACTTTTCTTCGTGTACCTAATTCTAGACACTCGAAGGCCACAACCAACTCAAGCGACCATCGTTTGGGACCTTTGCTTGCTGCCAACATGGCGACCCGGGTCAACCGCTCGGTCGTAGTGGACACACCGATCCAGTTTTCCTCAAAAGAGCGTCAATGTGGGGCCGTCCATCTTTCGAAATGGCATCAGCACAAACATAGCTCAAGTGATTTCTGCAAGACCTAAACGTGTTTTACAGCAGCCACGGCTTGATCCAGCAGGTGCAGTGGATGCACGTGAACTGGAATGCACCTCAGCGATGGACAGCGCAGCGACGAACGGCCACCTCAACGTCGTTCAGTGTCTAGACGCCAACTGCTTCGAAGGCTGCACTACCGCCGCAATGGACGGCGCCGCTAGAAATGGACATCTCGGTATCGTGCAGTGGCTGCACCAGAATCGGCTTGAAGGATGCAGCACTGCTGCCATCGACGGAGCCGCTAGGAATGGACACCTCCAGATTGTCATGTGGCTTCACGCCAACCGCCAAGAAGGCTGCACGATGGCCACAATGGACGGAGTAGCAGCCAATGGCCACGTGATCCATTGGCTGCATCAGAATCGCACTGAGGGCTGTACAGTTGCTGCTATGGACGGTGCTGCGAGCAATGGCCATCTTCATGTAGTCAAGTGGCTGCACCAAGTGCGCTCTGAAGGCTGTACTACCGCCGCTATGGATGAAGCTGTCGCCAATGGCCACGTCAACACGGTGAAATGGCGGCACGTGAATCGCTCGGAGGGATGTACGACGAAAGCGATGGGCAACGCGGCAGCATTGGGGCGCCTGGATACCGCCAAATGGCTGCACCTGAATCGCTCCGAGAAGTGCAGTCCATCTGCACTGACAAATGCCGCTTCAAAAGGTTTCTTGGGGGTTGTGAAGTACCTCAACGTCAACCTCAACCAACCAGCCAGCACTGCAGCGATTGATGCAGCAGCAGCGAATGGCCATGAAGAAGTGGCGAAGTATCTACGCGGTCACTGCTCCGAGCAAGATCAAAGCACCTCCGTCAATACCAATGGACCTGAAGAAAGTGTAGTTTCTGACTCTACTACTGAGCTAGATGAAGATACATTCATAACACGTGTGATTTCTACGCTTCGCGGAGGAAGCGATGGAAGTGGTGCAACTGCTGAGCCTGTGGAGCTACCGAGCTACGACCGAGCAGAAATACACGCACGAATCCGCTCGGAAGAGGAGACCAGCATCCGAGTCGAGCTAAGCTCTAAACTCCACGCTGAAGAGGAAGCCAAGATCATTGCGGAAGTCGTGGAAGCCAAAGTGCGGCCTACACTTCGAGCTGAGATACGAGCCGACGTAGAGGCAAAACTGCGGTCGGAGATTCGAGCGGAACTGCTAGCCAAACTCGAAAATGTATGTGCTGCTTGCGGCTGTAAGCCTCAAGAACCAGCAACCGCTACATGTGGACACAAGTTCTGTGAGGAATGCCTCCAGGTTGGCGGATCGGGGGATCCCAAACGGTGTGCATTGTGCGGATCGGTTTAAGTTTAGCAGCAAAAGCCCCGGGTCCTGTGATGCACGGGGAAATAAGTGAAACGAAAGCATACTTCCGATCTTAAACTAACGATTTATCTATTGTATTCGCTTGCAGTTTTTGGAGCTTGCGAATACGACCGCCATTATTTCGCGCCACTTCTGCGACCGTGGAGGGTGGAATAGTTATTATCAATGCGCAGCACGGACAAAATGTTTGCAAGTAAAAATCTCGTTTTTTAAAACTGTCTTTGGCAACTACCAAGTAAGCTCAGGGCATGCTGTTTAAGCCAAACCGTTGAATCCAAGGTGTTGCAGTATCATCTACCTCTATACGCGCCAACTCCATCGTAGCTGTGAGCTCGTCTTGCTGAAGCATTTCCTGATGCAACATCCCAAGCTGATGCGCTTTGTGTGTGAAAGCGGGCTTCATCGCCACCGAAAGATCGTATCGGCTGCATTTGTCGAGGTCGGCCCTGACTTCCCTCCGGCTGAGCGATACGCAGCAGCCTATCAATGGCACCCTCGATCCGTTCTAGCCGATCGCTCATCAGCTCCATCTTGGCAGCCAGATCCTTACAGCAGCAACCCTTAACTGATTCCCTTTCATCCAATTCTTGAGCTGACACGGGTTCAATAACCTGCTGCAGCTTCTCACGCACAGTGAGTGTTGTGAGCTCGAACGAATTCAGTAATTGGAGGTCGCTCTCAGTGATGTCTTCAATGCGCGTCACAGGAAGTCGCTCCAAAATGGCCATTGCGAGCTCGAGATCACTACCGTAAAACACAAGGGAGCATCCCTGAGTCACATCGATCTTTTAGTTAGTTTTTGAGCTGGGTCTGATCAAGTGAAATAGTCATACCTCAATGCCTTGAGTTGGTCGAGGGTGCGAGTCAAAGAGGAGGAATTGCCCTCTCTGCTCGTGGTCAGACCCACAAAGCACCATCAGCGTCTCGGGTGGTTTCGTGAAGAGGCACGCTACAGGTGAAGCTCTATTGCGACGGGCGCTCTGAACCACCTCCATGATGTTGGAAGCAGAGAGCACTCGCTACAGACAACAGCACCAAAAAGATTAACATTCATGTTGGTGCATTTTTTGACAACACATTGCCCATACTTGTTCAGATATGCCAACATCGATGATATATCTCATGGTTGACGATTTGTCCAAGTTGCCTTCTCCCCACGCGGTAAGAAGATTGATCGCTTCTTCGGCGGAGCTGTGTTCGCCCTCCAAGAACGCGGAACACGCCTCGTACCATTGGACGCCAAGCTCAAGCACGTCTTCGAGGTCGCGTTCGCAAAGCCTCGTCCAGTCGGAAACAGAGCCAATCCGACACGCTGCTGCTAAGGAGATGAACGTACACGCCGATCGCCCGTTGGGAAACGAATACTGGCTGCGCTGGCATTGGAGAACTGTTCACATTAAGTTAGTTTGGGGTTATGCTTCAATATGCGTACAGGGTTTCAATACCATGCTGGCTTGCCATGGTCGTGCAGTCGAGAGTTTGAGAAGTGAACATCCCTCGAGCTTAAGTCTGTTAGCCCCCATGATAAATAAGCTCCATCGTCTGCCAAATTCGGGACAAGATGCAAACCCATTGATCTGGTCGGCTCAGCTTTCGGATCTTGCCCAAGGTATTCCAAGTAGTCCCGCTGTTGACAGGTGATTCTTCTTGAGACGTACTTAATGTCACTGGCAGTGTATTAGCACCTTTACAAACAAAAATACGGATATCAGGATACAGATTTTCATTGATGCGTTTGAAAAAGATGAATAAATGAACACAGCGGGGTTTTCCTTAACTGTGCTCCACCCTACTTCGCAGATCCTACTCACCGTTGCGCTCCGCCCACGTTTGGCCGTCCCATTGCGACCGGTCTGCAAATGTTTGGAGAAAACCATTGGCACTGGGGGCAGTTGTTGATGACCTTCGCTCCCCCGTGCACTTCTCCTTGGTGAGTCTGTAGGTTGCCGCAAAATCCATGAAGCACGGGTCCGAAGCTGCAGCGACCGTACATGTATGCCGCGCCCTGGAAGAGCTGGCGCATTTGTTCCGGCTGAAGCTCATTGTCCTGAAGTTGCTGCTTCACCTGCTCGCAGGTGCGACCTTCGTGCCACTCGCGCGTGTTGCCGACACGAGGCGATCGGGCAGCGGAAGTGCGTGTCAATTCCATTGAGCACAGCCACGCCCCGACAGCCTTCAACGAGGCACTTGTGCGTGTCGGGGGCGTCGTCCGCACCGACTAAAAGGAGTAACGCAGCATCTCGTCCTCCGTCAGCACCATACTCATGTCGGCGTCCGATATCGTCGCAGTGCAGTCGGGACACCGAGGGCGTACGTTCTCTTGTTGATGCTTTGGAGGATATGCTGCTTGATCGTCTCACGACAGAAGCTGCGCTCACAAGGCCTGACAATGAAGATCTCAGCCATGGGGTCTTCATCCTGGCAGATTGAGCAGTGGAATGCAGTGGGAATAGGCGGTGGTGGAGGAGGAGTTGCAGCTCGACGTTGTAGTCCGCTCCAGCGCTCGTCGGCGTCTGATAACCCCCCACGGGCTGCATTCATCTCGTTGTTGAGGATGGAGATCAACGTGGTTCGCTTCATTTCGGGGTCGAGGTTTCGGATGGACTCGGCTGATTGAGGACGGGAGTGACGGAGTAGATTCAGTGCATCCCCACGTAATTGTGGCCGCTTGAGCGCCGAAGCATGGTGATTATCACTTCGTAGTCTTCTGCTGCAGCGTTCGGCGGCGGAGAAGAAGCTTGAACAATCGGGGCCACGGTGAGTGCCGCCATCCGCTGCGCAAGCATTAGACCAGGATCTGAAACAGCGATTTCTTCTTGAGCTCGTGACTGATTCTGCTGACTCCAGAAGTTGTGGACACGACCGGGCCTGTAGGTGTTGCTCGACGGAGAGAAAACAACCACCTCCATCAATAGAAGTTGACCGAGGTACGACACTGGTGGATCTCCTGTCGCAGCAACATAAGACTGCACCGCGAAGTTCACCTCGACGCCGCTCCCTGAAGGCAAGACGCACACAGCTCGGCCTTGGCCATTCTCCTCGTCGTGGTGCACACAATCCCCGCTGAGTTGATTGAACACTTGAGGTTGGTCCGGAAGGGAGGGAGGTGGCGGCAGCATACTGCCGTGTTTGGTCCTGATGTAGCGCCTATCGAGTTGAACGATCGATTGCATTCGTTGCACGTAAGTTGACTCATTTAACTGGAAGACACTCAATACTGCGACGGATACAAGTTCGCTTAATGAACGCGCGTGTGGATAGATCCTTGCCCGCTAAGATATTGTCCTCTAGCTTATTCTCGAGTTCGCACCCTGGGCCCGACCGTTACGAGGTCAGACTCGAAGTTTTGAATCTCTATTGATGTTAAGGGCTAACTATCGAGTCCTGAATTTTCTGAAGGTTAAGCCTAATCGATACGTTGTTCAGTGGTCTTCGTGGGCTGGTATCCCGAATACAACGTCTACACTGAAGATGGGGCTAAAAGCGAATATCCCTGGGCCGATGGAACCTGATCGCAATAATTTAATCAATTTGGCTGCTCCGGGCGCCTTTTGTATCTTGCTTTTCTCCCACGTGTACGAATTGAAGTGGTCGAAGAGAGTTGATCCTTGCGGGCGTTGTTTTGCCGACCACGCGCTAGCTACACATCCATTTTTGTAAAATCAATCGTTTTGCCTTGTGAAGGACGGTTGAAGTTCAGTATCCTGTTCAAGGCCAACTTCGTGGACTCGGAACTCGTACACAACCATGAAAACCATACTTAAGTAGTCGAAGAGGTTCTACAGTACAGCCATCAACACGTGGTCACGCTGAGCTGCAAGCCACAAGAACACAATCTTACGACGAAGCCCTATGGTCTAGGTTTTGTGTGGGAACCTAGAGCCATAAGGTGTTCGAGACTTCTACTTACATGTATCCCGGAACCCGCCACGACTGAATTGGTAGACGCGCTTCGTATTTGGGGCAACCGAGATGCGAGCTTGCTTCAACCTTGCGATCCCCTGCAGTTTGAGAGGTGTGAGATGTCTCTGTAGCTCTACTCGACAGACAGATTGGCACCGTAATCGTAGACCCGCCATTCCAGCTGATACTTAAGTACCATTAATCTTGCGTCTGTATCGGTTTGGTGGTCGAAGTATTGTTTACTGCTTCAGCGAAATCAACGCAGTCATTTGGCCAGATGGACGTTAAGTTACTGTACCGGTACATGTAAAAAGAAATCAAAACTTTCTCGTCGCCAGGCCGCCGCCGTTGAGGTGTGTCATGTGGCACTCGTTCCTTCCCGCCGGCATGCAACAGCTTGTATCCCAATACTTAAGCAAGGTCGAAGCCTCGTCCGGATGATTAACAATACAGTACATGTAATCTCCTCGTCGCATCGCTGCGAGAGAGGCGGTTGTGTCACGATCCTGAGCTCGACCCGCTGGAACGCTTGCCTCCAGGTGCTGCGTGTACTGTACTTTAGCTACAGTACAGTGTACATGACTGAACAACGACGTCGCGACTGTTACAGAGAACCACACGCACAGATGGCGTATCACGGGCACTGCGAGCTATTGCAGCAGCACCCACCAGCAACAGCCTCGGACTGCGTGCCGGTGGCATTCCATTCATCACTTCCACATTTGCCCTCCAGCACTCAAGCCACCGACCAGCAGCTCGAAGACTCAAGGGTAAACCATGGTCAGTTCCGCGTCCAGCGCCATCTTCGCGCTCTGCTCGCTCATCGCCGCCCAGAGCGGCCTCGCTTCCGCCGCTGCGACCCCCGTGGACCTCGGTTCGTGCCTCACCAAGGCCGGCATCGAGAACTCGGTGCCCAGGACCACGACCTGGACCATGGACATCCAGCCGTGGAACTCGCGCATCAACCCCCAGCCGGCCGCCGTTGCGTTCCCCAAGACGGAGGCTCAGGTGTCGGCCGCACTCAAGTGCGCCGGCAGTGCCGGCGTCAAGGTGACGACTCTGGGCGGCAACCGCTCGTTCTCGAGCATGGGCTTCGGCCGCAACAACGGCGCCCTCGTCATGAACCTCAAGCACATGAAGCACCTCAAGTACGACGCGTCTACCGGTCTGCTGTCGTACGGCGGTCCCGTCATGATTTCGGAGACTGCCAAGTACATGTGGGGCTTCAAGCGCACGCTGCCCCACGGCCGCTGCCCCGACGTCGGTATGACGGGCGTGGCTGCCTCGGGTTTCGGTACCCTCTCGCGTGCCGCTGGTACGGTGCTGGACAACATTGAGGCCGTGCGTGTGGCTCTGGCCAACGGTTCCATCGTGGACGCCAGCGCCAAGCAGAACTCGGACCTGTTCTGGGGCGTGCGTGGTGCCGCCAGCTCCATGGGCGTGGTGCTCGACTTCAAGATCAAGACCATGGCGCCTCCGTCGCAGACCGTGACCAACTACACCATCGCCTTCGACAAGAGCGCCAAGCCCACGCAGCAGGACAACGTCAACGCCTTCATCGGCACGCAGAAGTGGGCCCTGAGCGCTGACAACAACGACCTGCTGTCCATCCGCTTCAGCCTCAAGACCAAGTCGACGCTGCAGGGCTTCTTCTACGGCTCGTCCGCGCAGGCCAAGACCGTCTTCGCCTCGCTCATGAAGAACCTGCCGCCCTCGATGGTGCTCACGACGACCGAGGAGGACTTCTGGACGTCTGAGACGTACTCGACCCCCGGCCTCATCGAGCAGACCATGTCTCCGCGCCGCTACTTCTACATCGCATCGGTGACGATCCCCAGCAACAAGCCGCTGACCAACGCCACGGCCTGGGACCTCTTCTCCAGCACGGCGTACGCCCCCGCGCTCCCGGACGCTTCGGCTTCGGGCTTTGTTGACATCTGGGGCGGCAGGTACGCTAAGGGTGTTAAGGCGGACGCATCGGCCTGGAAGCACGACGACCGCCTGCATCTGATCCGCTGGGACATCCGCACCCCGTCCTTCGACGTCAAGTTCGCCGACAGCACCATCACCACCATGCGTAGCAATTTCTACAAGTTCGTGAGCTCGTACAAGGCCTCGGGTGGCGTGCCCGGTGGCTTCACGACGTACCGTGACGAGCGCTGGACGATCAAGGAGATGGCCGAGTACCTGTACGGCGGTGGCAACTTCGCCAAGCTGCAGCAGATCAAGACCAAGTACGACCCCAAGATGATGTTCAACACGGACCCGCAGGCCATCCCCGCCCTGGCCTAGAGATACCCAGTCGAAAACGTAGCTAACGTTTAGATATTTTTCAACAATGGATGTGTAGTTAGCCCGCCAGACACTTTGGCTTACTAAGTACTGTGATGAAGGTGATTGCTTGCTGGTCATAACTCGGATCCTTCCTTAGCTCTAAAACAATTGCAGACAGCAATGTAACTACAGTTTCAGAAAACTCTTATGATCAAAATCAAAAACTATACTACTAGTAATTCGTACCAACCATGATGACCGCTGACCGCACTTGGATTCAAAACGTTTCTACTGCAGAAGCGTTGGTGGTGTTCTAACACGACCACTTCTTCTCTAGCAATCGTCCCTGAGGTAGAAAGCGTGCGTTGTGAGCCACGATAAGCCCCAGACGCACGCCCCACATCTTTTCGTCCCATGGCGCCTCCCACGGGATCACGAAGTCGACTGGGACCCCCCCCCCCTTCTCCATGCAGCTCAGCGTAGACGTTCACTAACGGGGCCACGCGCTTGTTCCACGCTGGAGCTTGATATTTACTCCGAGCTTGTCCAGCTTATCGATATCGCGCCCGCACTGCGGGAAGTAAGACCCCACGCATCGAGTGTAAGTGAGTGTCTTGCCCAGTGTCTTCGCCCAAGCTTCCCGTGGCCAAGGATCTTAGACGGAACGACAAATTTGTGGCGGACTTTGCCATTCTCGTACACGTCGACATACACCTCGAGAGCTGGCATAATGGCGCCATTCCACACTGTATCGCTATGGTCCCACACAAAGCCAAGAGAGTCCAGCACGTGCTTATCCTTATCTCGAGCCACTTGCTTCGCGTAGCTTCTGCGGTATCGAATTTCACGAACAGCACTTCCAAGTTTCATTCCCCAGGCCTCCTCCGGCCATGGTGGACGGAACAGCACGATTCATCCTCGTTTGGGACAACGAAATGATGCGGGACGTCCGCGTTACCGTACACCTTCCAATATTGACGCAGCGCCGGCAGAATGACTGTGTCCCATTTCAACTGAGACACGTTCGTCACGAAGCCCAGCGCCTTGAGCTCCTCCTCCATCCCAAGGGGAAGACTCGACTTGTTGTTTCCCATCTTTTACCCGAAGAGCCCTCACTGCATCCCCCAAATTGTAGTCCCACGTCACGGAGGGCCAGCTCTTGCGGAACAACGAAAGTTTGAGGCACTAGCAAGCCCCCTTTCAAGTGGCTATACGTACGTTGGCGAGGTAGACATCGCCCCTATTTTCGACATTTTCGACACCAGGCAGATATATATTTGTGTCGAAATGTCAAATTGCTCATTTATACCCCCCCCCCATAGTTCGAGGCACACCCCTACGAATCCTTGTAAGGTACGTTGAAGGCTGCACACTCCGCTGACTGGCCGCATTCTTGACGACACATATCACACTCAAGCAGCATTTCGACAATATCGTGATAACCGGCCTTGTCCGCCTGCAAAATAGGGTCGGTCGAGCAACGCCCAGAGCAGTGGTCATGGAGATACTTCACAACCTCGGGGTGGCCATTCCGTGCAGCGCTCGTAATCGCATCTCGTGTGGGCATCAGGTCCAAGTGCACGTGCAGATACTTCACCACGTGAATGTGCCCATTTTCCGCGGCCCCAGTCAAAGCAGCAGCGGTAAACTTTTCTGCGCGATTTGTGTGGAGCCACTTGACGGCATCCAGTTTTCCCGTACTCGCCACGCGATCCAGTGCAGCAAACGTGCATCCTTCCGACCGGTTTTCGTGGAGCCAGCGAACCACATCCGCATGGCAGTTAGTAAGAGCGCCGTCCATCGCCGCAGTAGTGCACCCCTCGTGGCGATGGTGGTGTAAATACTTTACGACATCCAGGTGACCATTTTCTGCGGCACTGTCCATCGCCGCTGTAGTGTGCCCGCTCCTCGCTGCTCCGTCCATTGCCGCCGGGGTGCATCCTTCTCGACGATTCTGGGTCAACCACGTGACGACAGCTAAGTGGCCGTGTCTAGCGGCGCTGTCCATTGCTGCAGTGGTGCAGCCTTCCGAGCGGTTTTCATGCAGCCACTTGACCATTGACAAACATCCAGCACTTGCAGCGCCGTCCATCGCTGCGGTAGTGCAGCCTTCGTAGCGGTTCTTGTGTAGCCATCCCACAACATCGAGATAGCCATTGGCAGCAGCATCATTCATCGCTGCCACGGTGCAGCCGGCGTAGCTGTTGGTGTGGAGCCACTTGACAACCTCGAGGTTCCCATTCTTTGCGGCAGTGTCCATCGCTTTTGTCGTTAGTTCCGCCTCACAGTTGGCGTGCAGCCACTTCAAGCGCTCCAGGTGTCCGATGCTGCAGTAGTATTCCTTCACCCTCTTGCACAAGTTGTCTGGCTGGTGGTGGCGCTGGTGCCACGATGACGGGCCAACAACTCCACAGCGACCAACCTCTTCGGGGGTCAGCGCCGCCATCACTTGGTGGGTCTTTTGCTTGATCGGAAAAAATGAGAAATAATGCGGCCAAGGAGGGAGAGCAATTCAACTTGAGACCGTTAGGAGAGGATTTCGAGGAAAGTTGGTTGAGCTGCAAGTGTTGGAGCTAACGGTCGGGTGTCCGAATTTCATGATGTCACTCATCAACTATCAAGAAGAATAGAGAGGCTGAGTTATTGTTCAAGAGAGATCCTTCGCGTCGCATGCATATTTGTTTGTCCTTCTGAGTACTATTAGAGGCATTGTGTGGTTTTGAGGTTGGTTTTGAATTGAGGAACATTGTTGCCACTGAGTATGCAATATGCTTTCATTGTTTTGTCATAAAAGCTGGGAAACAAAATCAGTTTGCTTCAATCTAACGCTCTGGGATAAGTGCTTAGCCTTCATTTCATTTTCACTTTTGCTTTGAAAAGCACATCGCGTTTCGTTACCTTGGATTTCCTTACGCGGGAAGAAGAAAACAAGTACGGATATGCGGAGCCATCCACTTGGCATCTCAAGAAACACGGGTGCGAAGGGTTCTGCACAAAGATGAAGAGCTACTATGGCTCGCGTTGGGACCCAAGCTACTTCCGATGGATGGTCGCGAATTGCGACGCACCACTGACTACCGATGCCATGGACGGCGCAGCATCCAACGGGAAGTTGAGCAGCGTCAAGTGGTTGCACAGCCACCGGGTTGAAGGCTGCACCACTGCAGCCATGGACCGAGCTGCAAGCAGAGGCCGTCTCGACATTGTCAAGTGGCTTCATGAAAATCGCACTGAAGGCAGCACCACTGCTGCAATGGATGGCGCGGTGGCCAATAGTTTCGTAAAGATTGGCTGCATGAAAATCGCTCGGAAGGTTGCTCTACTGCAGCTATAGACAATGTCGCTGGGCAAGGGCATCTCGCCGCCATCAAGTGGCTGCATGAGAGGCTGCAGCCCTGCGGCGATGGTCAACGCTGCGTCGAATGGACATTTGGAGGTGGTCAAGTATGTGCATACTGAGATTAAGCAACCAGCTACCAGTGCTGCGATCACTGCTGCCGCGGAGAACGGTCATCTTCTGGTCGTGAATTATCTCCACGAGAATCGGACGGAGGCTTGTGGAGCCAACGCCATTCTTCGCGCCACGAGGAAGAGACACACTGCGGTCGTCAAGTATTTACTCAAGCATGACGAGTGTCGAGCTGCATACAAGCCGAAGAACGCGACGATGCTTGCTGACGGAGTAGTTTCCACGCGGAAGAAGATCTGGCGCTTCATTTTTGGCCTCGTGGTTTGACTTTCCACTTGCTTCCGGTAATGCTGATAAGCTGCTTCAACTTGCCAAGTGGATGTCGGGTGGCGAAAGCTGGAAGAACGTATTAGTGCTGAAAAGGAGGCAAACATTCGAACCAGCGAGCAAGCGAGGATTCGGACTGAAGTGGAGGCGAGCATCGGAGCTGAAGGGAAGAAGACTCGAGTCGACAAGCAAGCATTAATGCCGAGCAGCCAGATTCTGGGCGGAAATCCAAGCCGAGATCGAGAAAAGATGGATTCGAAACTAGCTTCTTGGAGTTCCAAAGATGTATAACCCGTTGTTGACTCTTTTTTCTTTTAGCCAGCCTTAGTATTTTTCGAGATTGTGAAGAATATTATCTGTATCGGTAGATCGTTAGTTCCAACACTTGCAGTTCAACCTTTCCTCGAGATATTTTCCCAACGGTCTCAAGGTTGAATGCTTGACAATCTTGGCGCCAACCTTCCTGCGCGTCACGTTCGTTTTGCCTCTCAAACCTGCTGATTTCTGCTCCATCTTCTGACGAGTATGAGTTCGCAAGTCGTTTCTAGGAATCTGAATTTCGAAGTAGTTAGTTACAGAAGGAAGGTTTTCAACCAGGAACAAGGAGTTGAAGTTACCTTCGTCATTATTTACCATTACTTGATACTACACCAGTAGAAAAACCACTACAACCGTAAAACTCTTAGCTGTGTGTCGAAAAAGAACTACAAAACGAAAGCGTGAATCTCGTCCATTTCGATAGCATGTCTATAGGGATATTTCTGAAGCCACTTTGTAAGCATAGGATTCTGACCTGAATACATGTACGAACGATCATGGTGTTTACATGAACTACGCTTTTATTCCTCATTCGAAGCGTGGGAGCTCCGGATTCTCTCGAGCCTACATGTTTTTTCTAGAGCTTCAACCTTCCATTCCATGGTCCTTCAAGCCCTCCATTTCGTCAACTTGCTGCCATTCTTCACCAACTTGCGTTTCCTCCTTCTTCACTCGGCCGATCGGACCCGCTGGACAGTCTTCGCTTCGAACCTGATGAGATACTCCACAACCAGAAGATGATCGTTTTCCGCGGCGGCAGTGATCGCAGCGTCCGTAGCTGGCTGGCCGACCTCAGTGTGCAGGTACTTGACCACATCCAGGTATCCTTTCGACGCCGCGTTTATCATCGCAGCGGGGCTACAGCTTGCCTGTCGATTGTCATGCAGCCACTTGATGTCAGCGAGGTAGTTCTGTCCCGCCGCAGTGTCCATCGCTACAGTCGAACACCCTTCCGAGCGGTTTTCATGCAGCCATCGAACCACTTTCACTCGACTATTGGCTATCGCGCCATCCATCGCGGCAGTGGTGCAGCCTTCGGGGCGGTTTTCGTGCAACCACTTGACTACGTTGAGGTGGCCGTTGCTCGCAGCGCCATCCATCGCCTTGGAAGTTCAGCCCTCGGAGCGATTTACGTGCAACCACTTGACAATATCAAGGTGGCCGTTTGTTGCGGTGCCATCCATCGCAGCGGTGGTGCAGCCCTCGGAGCGATTTTGGTGCAGCCATTTGACAACTTTGAGGTGGCCGTTCGTCGCAGCGCCAGCCATCGCGGCAGCGGTGCAGCCTTCAAATCGATTGTTGTGGAGCCACTCGACGTTGTATAAATCGCCGCTGGCTGCTGCTGCGTCCATCGCATCGGTGGACAGAGGCTCGCAATTCGCGATCATCCATCGGAGATTATCCAAGCTAAAGAGCGTAGCATAGTAGCTCTTCATCTTCGTGCAAAAGCCACTGCAGCCGTGTTTCTTGTCATGCCAAGTGGACGGTTCCGCTGACCCATACTCCGCTTTCTTCTGGCGATAGGATGTCCATGATGTTTCCAAAGTAGAAATGGATCGTAAGTGAGGGCTTCGCGTCGATGAACGCTGAGCGTCAATCTCGTCAAACACCAGGAAAAAGTTGAGTGATAGCTTTTTATCTCAAAATATTAGTTCTATCCATCGTAGTAAACATTCCGATCAACTTCGACAACGACCTGTCTTGGCTTTTGTAATGACTACTATTCAAAACAAGCCACAAATCACCCTTGGTATCATTGTGTGTATTCTGGACTGGACTCAAGAATGGCCAAGGCGTCAAAGGGGAAGGCCCCCGCCAAGAAAAAGAAGTCGGTGACGAAAGCGTCAACTCGCAGCTCAACGAAGAAGGAGTCAACAGCAGCGGCATCTTCCCAATGCGCACCATCGCACTCTCAAACTGTGAAAACGGAGGCCACTGACTCAAAAGTTTCAGCCGAAGCAGACCCCGTTACGAGTGAATCCTCCCAAGAGCCTTCTCAAGCAAATGGAGAGCGCTAACGTGGAGCTCGAAAGGATCAAAGGGGAAGGTCAAGCTGCCATTCGCCTCAGTGGTGTGACGTCTTCAGCTTGGGAACTGCACCGCGAATGGGCCTGCACACGCGCCAAGGCCCCACCGCAAGTCGACTTCTTCTTCGCGCCAGTGGCGACGCACTACAAGACGGCGATTGCCACGCCCATGAAGCTCGTCGGCCGCATCCAAGTGGAGATCGAGAGCCTCTTGAGTTACATTGAGCCACTTCGCACGACCGACTTTGTGAATGGGGAACCCCTTGTGCTGCCTGCCCCCCTGTCGGAGCAAGATCCAGACGACGACGCGCTGTTTCCTGACCCGCCCCTCATCTTCCGAGACACGCGCATCGCGATGACGACTCTTGTCGACGCTATTGCCAATCCAGGGCCTTTGTACCGCACCATCCACGGCTTACGCGAAGGCAGCTACATCTGCCACCTCATGTACATCTGGAAGTCGGTGTTCGTTTTCCTGCCGATAATCCGTTCGACGTCGTAGGAAACAGACCCCTGGAAGGCTAATGGACGCGTTCCGAGTGCCGCAATTTAGTGTTGCAGGTGAGCACGTTCAGATTAATTCATACTACTCAAGTCACGTGAAGTATGCAACATTTATAATTCGAAGTGGTTGTCAGCTGCTGAAATTGCTGCCGTCGAAGCCGTTGTAGAAGTGCTAGCGCTTGTTGCTCCTCTTGTTCTAGCCGCCGTAGCACATATTCTTGATCTTCTTCTTTTCCTTCTTCTTGCTGTTGTTGATATCCATTTCGTCTGCAATTGGATAGTGATGAGACGAAGACGCAGTCTGTCCAACGTTTTGGTGAATTTTCGAGTTCTTGGGACGTTGTTGTGGGCTAGCTTCCCAAGGAATTCTACGACGCCGTAAGTTGCTTTCGTCCAACTCGACCGATTGGAAGTCGTAATCTAACTTTGCCGTGGTTGGATTGGCCTCAAACTCTTCGTCTGTCAGAGATTGCAGCTCCAGCCTCGGAGCCTCGGAACTACCAGATCTACTCTTCTCTCTTTCATTCAACGGTCCTCAGCTCACTCTACCACTGCAGTCACTCGTTCTACCAGAACTGTCATCGTCGATGTCGTCGTCAAGCGATGATAATTCTACCAAAGTGTGCATCCAGCGCTCTGGGTCCATTATACAGATGGGAACAGCCGCTCATGCTGCAGTGACCACCTCGGCGGCCGGAGTCGCGCGTCTTCAGCGACTACACGGAGCGACTGGGATCCCCGTGTACAACATGATCGATTCGCCTATCACTTTCGGTGTCATGGCACTGGATGCCGTGGGGTCCGTCGTATTCGACGACTCCACAAAGCGAACGGGCGTTTTGAAGCGCACAGTAAATTCCGCGTCGGACGATGGCAGTGGGCGAAGCGCTGCGACTTGCTTACAGCCACCATCGTGTCGAGGCCAGCAAGAATACAGCGCACACTGGAACGCTTGTCACGGTACGGATTATATGGAATGAGCTTTGGTTCGGTCGGTTTGGGTGCTTCTACTTAGCCACGATACTCGCCGTTGTCTCGGTGTTCTAGACCCGGACTGCTCCCAGTATTACTTCCACAGCCTGGATGAAGACACAAAAGACTGCGTGATTGTACGTACGCGCGTTTACTGATATTTCTCAACCATTGATCTAACCACTCCTTCTCCTTCTAGGACTCGAGCTGGACTGCGATGCTGGCTGCAACGATAACGGTTTTCGTTTCGCCTTCTCCCTTTCGCTTCTGTTTTCCACTCAAAGCAACAAACAGCCACTGTTTTCCACCCCTTAGTCCAAGTCTGTCACAACCGAGAAGCTTCCATGTGCACTATCCCCCCCAAGCGAGCGCACCTACTGTGGGTATTTCAGGTGCATTGGCCCGGTTGAACGATGTTTTATTCTAACGTATCCATTA